GGACGCTCTGGGATTTTGCTTGTTCCTGGTACTGCATCGCGTTGCTCTTGAATGAATTTGGCTCCATTGGTCAATCCGCACTGTTGCACTGCATCCGAGTTGATTTTGGGCCGACGAGACGGCTCGACACGACGCCTCTTTCATCGACCGCCATTGGCGTTCAATCCGTCGTGGTAGAGTTCACGGCCATGTCGATTGCGAGGTGCTGTGCACGGATCATTGTCCAACGTCCTGATAAGCACCGGAGTGCTACCCACAGCACATCCATCCATGTCTAGTGGGGCCGTTTCGACCTTCTACAGGTCGTGCTAATAAGTATCAATACGTGTTCGCGTTGAAATCAAATTAGCAAAACCCAACTCAAAGACTTCGCATACGTAGTGCTACGCCTGAATGCGTGGGAGTTGGCACCAGCCCTTGGTCGTTGGGAGTGAACTGCGCACGGAGAGATCCATCCCGTGGTGGACCCCACTCGCCGAGGGATAGCTCGCGCGACGTCGTACGCAGGCTCCTGTACTCGGGCCACCCATGTTATCATTATTTGACAAAGGCCCTTCGCGCGTCGGACTCACTCGACGCGTGATGACTGTTTAATACTCGTCGTAGAGAAACCACTGTCAAGTAAACAGCACAATTGCGCGTGCTTCCGCTGCGACGCCCCAACTCCCAGTACATTCAGATAGCACACTTGACGAGAGGAATTGCCCTCGAGCACCACGATGGCCACGTTGAGAAGCGCGCAACGTCGTCGTAACAAGGTAGTAACAAAAGAACCGTTAGCGGCAAGGTCAGTCAGTATGTTGGTGCAGAACCATCGAGGCATCGATGGATGCACACAGCGGATGGCAATTTGACAAGAGCTTTCGTCAGCCTCGAAACGATCCCACTATCACAAGGCAGTGATCACAAGGAGTCATCCTTGGGTGCTCACCCCAATTGAAGTCGTCGCTTGCACGTTGGACAAACAGTGCGGTGTATGCGTGAAAAATTCACGCTGCCTCCCGTCAGCACAACCACGATCTGAACGCCATTGCTGCCAAGGACACGACAGTGCAGCCCGACGCGACAGCAGCCATGACACCGTCAGCCACGGTGGTCGACGCGTGGCGGTAAGATGTCGGCCAATGGTCTTGGCTGTGTCGACCTCGTCGATGGGTGGGATGGTTGCGACGTGGGATCACTGATGGCTCATCGATATATCGATGGCAAGATCGAGACGCCTTTGCACAAGCATCGATCGTATCCTTCGAACGAAATTTTACGTCAGTGGATTTATTTTTGCTGCGTCGCCAGCTGTGGACACACCTGCTCTATTAGTATTAGTGTGTTAATAATGTACCTCTATCTAGGGTTGGCCGTGGGCTGGCTCCGATTTAACCCTCACTTGTGCATTCGACGGGTCCGATGCAGATGTGGCCGGCCGCGTGCGTCGTAGCGTCCTTCTTGTCGCTCGTGAGCGAAATGCTTTCGACCTCGACAAACGACGCAGCGACAATGGCAAGCGAGCACGAGGCAGCCATGGAGGCCTACCGCGCTGCCATGAGTGCGTACTACGCCCGCAGCGAGCTGTACCGGGACATGCACGTGCCGCCGACGCTGCCGCCGATGCGCCGCCTCCGCACCGAAAGCAAGTAGCCACCATGCATCCCCACTCGAACGCACACCCTCTAGCTCCATCGCAGCAGCTCGACTCAGAAATATGCCCGGCAACGCGACTTTCGAGTAGTATCAATGTTTCAGTCTTTTGTATCAGTGTATCACCAATGGATTCTTTGCACGGAACGCAGACACAACTTGCCAGCGAGCTAGGGTGCGGAGTTTGCAATTGCATTACGATTGCATGACCGTACTATCAATGTATAGGGACATTCGCAGGCATTGTCGCTGGTATTATCTACGACACAAATGGCGCTTGATAGCACGGGGCACTGGACGCGCACGGGCGCCGCGTCAAACCCTGCTATGTGTCAGTCCTTCGCCGCCGTGCACCACGTCTACCTGTGTTTACCTACCTCGCGTCTACGTGCACGAGAACGGTATCACTGCAAACGCAGCGTGCATCTCCGACAGAGACTGTCTTTTGTTCCGCGTGGTGCTGCAATCAAAACATACGTACATCAAGGCGACGCTTCAATGACGGCTACCGTTACGAAAAAGCGCTCGAAACTTTTGAGCCCTCGTTTGCAGTCTGGCTTTGTCAAAAGCCAGACAGCAGCTCCCGACACCACATGGGAAACGATGGCACCCACCGCGCTACGCTTGCAATGGCTTGCGACCTCTTAATACGTCCTGCAAACCGGTGTGGAATCGAAACGCTACTGTAGGTCTCTGGTGTAATGTCTGCTGTCGCCATGGAGCGCATTCGATCATCGATCTTGTGCACATACCAATGTAGTGACAGGAAAGGACCGGTAACAAAGAGCTATGCCCCAGAGCTCCCAAAATCAAAATGGACTTGTGAGGAAGCGCTCGCATCATGGTCGCACAGAGCAAATCTGTAGCTGCTGCACTCGCTGTGGGTATAGCTCTGGGTGTCCACGGGATTCAGTGCCTTGCTCGACACGTTTTCTTTAGGCACTTGCAACCTGTGGTTAAAAAGGGCCAAGCATCGTCACCGCGCCGCTAAAAGCTAAAGCTAACCGACGGCTTGGACTGCATTCGGCGAGGAGTCATTATTCCCTCCTGTCGCGGCGTGCACAGAACGTCTGCAAAACAGTTTCCAAGGCACGCCCGATCGCAAGGATTCCCTCGCACTCGCGTTCGGCCACCACGATTGTCTTATCGTCTACTAGTACGAGGCAAGCAATGGCGCTGACGGAAGAAGCCAAGCGTTGGAACTCCTCTGCTGTCTATACCATGGTTCTCGTGGCATGCGCCTGCGTTGCCGCGACGTCGAGAGGCGAGACTGCGACCTACCTGACCTAGTGTCGCTGTCTTCAATTTGGTCATTTCAACAGAGATTTCGGATTTCTTGACCGTTGCAGCGCTGCAACCTACACGTCATTGACATAACCGGATAAACTCAACCTAGAAATCTATCCGGATACATGCGCTTCAAAGGTGTCGAATGCCACTCATTATCCGGACATCTGTCATTTTATCCGGATGACCACCGTGCACGATTATTGGCGTGGTGCATAATCGTGCAGCACGATGGCGGCGACTGGATGGGATTGCTTCGACGACAGCAGCGACGACGAGGTCGAGCGCTTCGATGAAGACGCTTGGGAGCTCACGCCCGAGCGCGTCGGCCGCATTACGACGGAGCTCCTGCGTACCGTGCCATCGCGCCGCGAGGCCCACGGCGTCGAGGATGCTTCTATGCTACTGCCGCCAGCTGCGACGCTGGCGCAGGACACAGCCGCGCTTCGCACGCGCCTCGAAGACGCCGGGTACATCTTTCCCGACGCTTCTACCACGGACGTGGCCGTGGACTTGGAGGCGCTCACGGCCGATATGTCGTACGAGGCGACGCAGGCCGTGCTCACGTCGTTGCACGCCAGGGTGCTGCCAGGCGGCGTCGTCATCACGCGCGTGCCGCCGATGCTCTCGGTCGACTTTGTCTCGGAGCACTGGGCGCTGCCCCGCGTCGCGTCCTTATCGGGGCCGTTTGCCAATGCGGCGACGCGCATCATCCCGGGCCATTGCCTCGTCGCCGTGCAGACGCGGACGGCGGATGTCAACCCCAAGCACTACCGCCTCGAACCCGCCACCGCCGCGAGCTTGGACCACGAGCGCAACTGGGTCGACCGGGTCACGCTCGGCCGGACCTTCTCGGAGCGGCAGCACGGTGTTCTGAGCGTCGAATCGCACGCCCGCGCGTGCAGCATCCTGCGGGACTACGGTGTTGTCGTGCTCCGGGGTCTCTTCAACCCCGAGACGGTGCGCAAGTATGGCGCCGCCGCGCTCTCGGACTTTGCCCAGGTCGCGGAAAAGCTCGCCGCCGACCACGACATGGACGTCTTCAACCCGGGCGAGAAGCCGCCATCGCGCAACTTTGTCGAGTTTGCGACGCGCGAGGCGTTCCGGTGCGACCTCCGCCACACGCCCGCGCTCACGTCGCTGCGATCGACCGAGCCAGCAGAGGACGCCCGCACGAGCGACGGCATCAACCCGCGCCACCCGGTCGTCGTGGCCATCCTCCAGGACGTGGCGCAGCCGGATGCCGGCCCGGTTCGCAATGCGGGCAACTATGGCATGTGGAACTTTAGCTTTGGCGGGCCCGGGTCGCGCCAGCGCCTCTTGCACGGCGAGATTGGCGCGATCGTAAGCACGCCCGGCTGCTTTGACCAAAAGATCCACGCGGACATCCCGCATCTCTTCAACACACTCGACTTGCCGCCGCACCTCCTCCATGCCTTCTTGCCCGCCTGCGATGCCGGTGGCTACGACGCGGGCCAAACCGCGTTTGTTGTCGAGTCGCACTTTCTCGAGACGTGTGCGCGCATGACCAACGAAGACGGGTCGGGCATCCCCGAGACGATCGCCAAGACGATCCGGCCGCACGTAACGCCAGGTGACTTGGTGCTCTTCGACTGCCGCGTCCTGCACCTTGGCTTGTCCAACACGACTGCGCCGATGGGTAATACGACTTTTGTGTCATGGCTCACGATGATCACATTCGTACTAGGCTCCAAGGACGGCGTGCGCCGACCGATCCTGTACGTCAACTGGCACCTGCCGTGGTTTGAGGACAAGAAGAACTGGGAGCGCGTCTCGCTCTTTAAGTCTGTCTAATACAGCAACGACTGGGTTATTGCATCGTCGTCGCCGGTGCACTGTGTCTTTATCGGCACGAACGTCCGAGTTATATACTATTAGCGCGATCAAGAGTATTTAAAGTTATAAGTGTAGTCGGTGGCTCTGGTTTACTTGTGGTTCGCGAGGCCCGCCGCGAGGAGCGCAGCCACGTCGTCCGAGACGCCCTTCTTGGCGCCAGCCGCCGGGGCCGCCGGCTTGCCGTCCTTCTGCTTGTAGTCGAGCTTGCCCTGCTGCTTGCCGTCGCGGCGCTTGGCCGTCTCTTCCTTGGCAGCGGCAAAGGCCGCGAGGAACTTGGCTTCGTCAAAGTTCTCCTTCGGGTGGCGCGAGTCGTAGTGGATCTTGAGATCCGGGAACGACATGAACTCGTTCAAGCACACCTCTAAGCTTGAGGCATAAGCGCCTCATCGCGCAAAAGAGTGGGCTGCGTACCGCACTTGACGCCGACCTTTTGGCACTTGCGGAGCTCTTGGCCCGACGAGCCGCCGCCGGCAGCACCAGCGCGCTCCTTGGCGGCCTTGTGCTTCATGTTGATTTCCTTGGCCGTGTGCTTCTGCGCCTTAGCCTTGCCGCCCATCTTGTTGCTGGTTTCCTGAGATTATTGAGACTGATGACCCAGGGCCAGTGCCAATCGATGCGATCCGGATAATAATCCAATCACGACCAATGAAACCGATATGGCTATTCGCACACAACCTTTCCATGCACACTGGGACTAGGCCTGCTACAAAGAGACGTCGTTTGTCTCGACAAGGCTAGGATACCGTCCCTGTCATGTCGACACCAAGTATTCCATAACGTATACGTGTTGCAGAGCTCGCCGTTCACACCCACACACTGCATTCCGAGGTAAAGTTGTGTGTTTTTAATGCAGCACGAGCTATCGTGTTCTCTGCCATGGCGTGGCAGCCCGAAACACCCGCTGGACAATCGTGGCGCGTCGCTGCACAGACGTCGCTCTCTGAGTCTCGCAGTCGGCTGCGTCCATGTCTCCTCTAGCAACGATATCTCGACGAGGAGTATACGCTGCTAATAGTACGCGCTATCTTTGGTCAATGTTGTCTGGACACCCATCAACGAATTTTGATTCATGGCGTCAGCAACGGAAATGATGGCTCAAAATGCGGCTCCCGACAGTAATAGTAGAGACGGCAAAGAGTACGCAACCTCGACCTCCATCGAGAGCCACACCTCTGTGCCACGCTACACGGAGCTGGCGACCGTCTGATAGCTCGTCGTATACTCGATGCGCTTGGAAGGAATGGATTTTGCGTCGTGTCTGGTACGAGCTGACACTGGCTGGTATGGGACGCGCTACATACTCCGAGTCTAGTCCATGCGGTACTAATACCACTTTACACCAATGCGTCCGTGTCGCAGCGCAATCCACCCCGAGAATGCGAGCCCCGGCGACGAGCTCGCTCATAGAGTCGTGTATACCTACACGCGTAGCCGCGTTGCGGCAACCAGCTCGACCACTCGGAGCCACCGCCGCCAGCTCCTACGACATCGACGATCGCCAAGGCCTCTCCGAGCAACCACGTCATGTAATAATCGATACAGCCAGTCAACACGACGACGCAAATGCACCAGTTGAATGGAGCAAGGGAAGAGGTGAGGGAGTTCGAGGCCAACTGCAGTGCCCACTCCATCCTCTTCAGAGCTGCCTTTACGTCGCCATACTGAAGCGCCGTGTACTTTCGACCAGATGGCGCGCCCGGCCACATTGCACATTTTCAAACCCAAAATGGGCTTCGCAATGCACATGCCCGACGCGGCCTGCGCGTACCCGCTCATTGCGCCCGACTGCGCGGCGCCGATCGCAACCGTGACGCCGCGCTACCGGGTGCAGCAGCTCGCCTACCTCGGCGTCGGCTCTCTCCTCGTCCTCCTCGTCACGCTCAAGCTGGCGCTCGTATTCGCCAAGCGCGATCGAGGTAGGTCGATTCCTCGACGTTGGCCGACCGTAGCAAGACGGGCGCATGGTGTTAGGGCAAGCGACGCAACGACACATATTACTCTTGCTTCTTGGCGCGGCCGTCCTCCTTACGACCCGCGCCATCGACCCGCTCGGCCTCAACAACGTGCTGCCGTACGTCCTTGTTGTGGGCATGAGCGACGCGTGCACGGGCTGCCTCGAGACCGCCATGTACTCTACGTTCTCGCTTCCTCTTGAGTGGTCTCGAATGCATGGAACGTGTGTAGCATCGTCATGCTCATGTTCTGGATCCGCGTCATGGAAGGCGACGTGCAAGAGTACTCGCCGCGCTTGCTTTGGGTCGGCGGCCTCTCGATCGCCGCGGCGTGGGTCGCCAACGTCGTCTTTCCCATTCTGCAATGGTACTGCGCATGGTGCTGAAGTTCGTAGCATGCTTGGCGGCGTAGGTACTTTTGGGATACCGGCGACTATGTCCTGGAGCGCATCAAGATCTCGACGGCGCTGGTCATTACGCTTGTCATGACGACGACCGTGAGCATTTATGGCTGGAAGATCCACCGCCGCCTCGAAGATATTCTTGACGCAGTGAGCCTCGAGGCGCCGATCGATGACTACGACTATGTGCTCTCGACCAAGAACGTGCTCGGCCAAGGGGCGTCACCGACGTTGCCGCTGCCGCTGCCGCCGCCGTCTGTCCGGTCGTACCACGGCGCGTGCTGTCTTCGCTCCAAGATGCTCGAGACGCTCGTGGGGTTGCAACTCGTCGCCGGTTTTATCTTTGTCCTGCAGGTATGCATCTGTATGCTCATGTCATGTTGACCTAACCCTTTGCAATAAGATCTACACCATCTTCCGCGTCGAGACGCAGAACGAGTCGGTCGTTGCGTGCGTCATGACGGGCTGCACGCACGCCCACATGAACATGCCCATCATGCCAATCGCGCAGGTACGCGACGCCCTCGTCCGTCGTCTCTCAACGCGTCTAGGTGCTGGGCATTTGTGCGGGCATGTGGATCTTCCGCCACGTCTAGTCGTCTTCTTGTCTGCGTCTACTACTATGTATGCTAAGTTATCGTGTTTGTCATGTCCCAACTGTACATCTTCAATCGAATGCAAAGCACCAGGTATAACAGCCATGCGTCCTAACTTTGCACTGGGTGTCGTTTCCAATCCATGGCCGTACAAACGGACGTGGCCGGATCGCGTTGGGTTTCCATCTTGATAACTTGATACAGCACGACGTATGGCGCGGCGGATCAACATTGTCGGCTCATCGCGGCCGCGCCTCGAGTTGGCGTGCGTACGTTCGAAGGTCGTCGAGCCGAAGGACGTCGCGGCCCGTGCAGACCGTCATATTGCTCGTCGTACACTCGATGCGCGTGGAAGGAATGGATTTTGCGTCGTGTCTGGTACGAGCTGGCGGGTGCGTCGACCGGTAGGCAGCCCGCGCGTCGCATTTGGCCTTGTCCATGAGCCGCAGGAGCACGCGCTTCGACGCCATGGCCTTGATCGTTGCTACCGTGCACCGCACTAGTACTCATGTCGACAGATGGCGACGTACCGCCCGTGAGGTGGCCGACGAGGGCCTGGCCCCGCAGCTTCATCTTGAGCAGCGCCATGTGCGTCTTGCTCTGGTGGCGCCCCGCGTCGGCCTTCCACCACACGGCAAACTCGGTAAATGCGATACCGCCGCTGCGATCGGTGTCCATTTCTACGCCCAGACCCATAAGACGCAGCGTCTCTCGAAGTCGTTCGCACCAGCAAAACCTTGGCGCAAGTCCTTCTCGGTTATTGGCACACCGAGCTCTGACGTCAAAAGCCGCAGCTCGTCCAGATCGATGGTGCCTGGACAGTACAGTAGATGAGTGAGTTGCATGTGCGAGAATGACGTGGCGGAGCGCACCAGAACCGTCCGTGTCGAACGCAGCAAAGGCGGCTTCCATCGCTTGTGTCTCCAGGTCAACCTTTCGGCGCGACTTCGGCTTCTTCTCTCGTTTTATCGCGTCGCGCTCTCGCTTGATTTCGATCCGGCCGGCCGGCGTCTGGAGCCAAGCTAGCGTATTGGTCCGCGCCTTCCTCGCTTCCATGAGGTCAAGATCGGACTGCTGTCGATCGCACCTCTCGCTGCGCGGCTTCCATAGCGGCAATCTCACTCTCAAGGCGCGACGCTTCGCGCCGAATGGCGCGGTGGCGGTAGCACCAGCGCCGACACGCAGCGTAAACGCGCAGCAAGCACTTGGTTTTCTGCACCTAGCGCGCCGCACGATCGTCGAGAGCATCATCCATGCACAGAATGGTCCCACCTTGTACACCGCATATTGATTGACGAGCTTTTGGATCGTGTTTGCGGCGCGATGGCGGAGCTGCGTGTGGCGTCTGTGCTGTCGGACGCAGTGACGGCGCCAGCAGCACTGAATTGCAGTGGCGGCCTTATGCTTCGTCGCGAGCCGCGCGGATGCGCGAGACTGAATCACGCGCGCCGACCGGTTGGCAGTGGTCGCCCGGACCCGGGCTTGACGCTACCATCCGTATTGGTTGAAAAGCGTAGAGCTCAGTGAGATGCATACATGGCGGCGAAGGCGGAATCGACAAAAGTGCTGCAGTAGCAACAGACTCGAAAAGAGCCGATCGAGGTGCGTCCGCAGCGACCGACGAAAGCAGACACAGCGGTACATGCGTGCAACCTACAGGCTGTCGTCAAGCGCGTGGCGAGGATATTGATGCTGACCATGGACGACGCCGCATGCGCATCGATCGAGTACGGGTACAAGAGCTCAGGGGGCGCCGTGCTCACGTGCATCGGGATGGGGAGTGTCACGGCTGTCGCTAGACTCAGCGACGTCGTCGGGTGTTGCATCTGTAGGTCGGTGGGAGCTTTTGGAATGGCGACGGGTGGAGCTTACTTGTTCGGCTCGGTGGACAAAGACGGTGGCGTCCAGCGGCCGCGCCAAGAGCGAGCGCACTTCGTCCTGCCAAATCGACCCGCGCATGCGCTGTACCAAGTGCGCTTCCAGTCGTGCGCGCATCTGCACATACGTGTTGGTCGATCGCAGAGGACTCTACGTACCTCGACTGAGAGCAGGGCAGGTCGCAACCGTGTCACGAGGCTCGTTGTCGTCGTCTCAAGGCGCAGCGGCTCGGCCTTTGCAAGCCGCTGGAGCGCGGTATGCACGTTTCGCTCGGGGACGTAGCGGCTCTTGGGACACATGAAAACGCGATCTTCATGCGCGAGCGGCGCCAGCGCCGTGTATTTCACCGCGCTTTTGCCGTAAATGAGCTCGATCGTACTCTGGAGCTGCTCCAAACGCTCGTCCTGTGTCGCTTCTTGCCAGCGCAGAAAGAGGTCTGCGTCGCAAAAGGCAGCTGTGGCCTCGGCGTGCCAGCGCAGTGCCACCTTCTTGGGCACCAGCGGCTGCAGTGGCGGCGGGACCTTGCGCTTCCGAGGCCTACGCTATGGTAGGAGGACGGTGGTTGAGAGAAAGCGTACTTGCGCGGAGGCGCGTATAGGACCTCGGCGCGGTGCATCTTGGCCGTGACGGTTTCGGCTATTTTTCGGCGCCAGCCATGTCGCATGCCACGGCGTCCCAGCTGTGTGCCACGTCATGAGCCTGACGATTCATTCGGCTTGCATTGACCTTTAAAAAGCTATCAACGACACATGGAGGAGGTTACCGCATTATACTAGTTCATTATTGAGGGGCCCAAGTCCTAGACCTTTGCATCGCCAACGCTATAGTGTCGGAGCACTCTGGCCGTCTACACTTGGTGCGCCACCTTGCCGAAAAAGACAAGCACTGGCTTGGGCGTAGATGCCGTTGGTACAGAGAACGCAAGACGGAGCTCTATCGCCATAAAGTCGTACGGCAGAATGAACTCCGTGTCGCTGATCGCAATGAGGTCGACGCTGATGGCGCCATACGTCAAGTGCAAAGTGCCGTTCCGAAGCGAGATGACGATCGGGCCGTAGTAGTCGGGCGACGTATCCAAAAGGTACGTGCCCGGAAGGACGCTCGTGCTGGGTACGGTGACATTGCTCTTTGGCCACGGCTGGTGCTCGAAATAGTGCGCATCGCAAGGCAATTCGGGGCGCTTGTCGGCAACCGCCAGTCCGCGTTCAAAGACTTCGGTCAACGTCGCCTTGGGAATTCCGAGGAAAAGCCCGAGCACATACGAGCGCATGAGCTCGAGAAGCGTCGCCTCATGCGCTTTCCCGCCCATTGACGCCTTGTTGGCGAGAAAAACGAGGCCGAGTCCGTGCGCCGGCACATAGGCTGTCGTGCACGTCCCAGCCTTGTTGCCGCCATTCTTCATAGCAAAGCGCTCGCCAAAGAAGAGATCGCCAATAGGACCGACACCGTACCCCGTCATCACCCCGGTGCCGTCCAGATTGGTCGCGTCCAGACCCAGCGTGGCCAATAGCGAGCTCGGGTCGGGCAGCTCAATGATACCGTGGCCCGAGTAGATGGTCGCGAGCGACTGCGGTGACTTGAACGTCGCGCCGCCTTTGGCCAAGACGTGCTTGAGGAACGCTGCCATGTCGTTGGCCGACGAGACAATCGAGCCTGCTGCGAGCATCGGGACGGTGGGGCTGAGCTTGGCCAAGCTCGACGACGTCAGCGCGTACGGGCCAATGACGACCCCGTTGCACGTGTTGTGCCCATGCGTCAAGCGCGATGCTGGCGCGTCTGCCGCGTTACCATACGTCGACTTCATGCCCCACGGCTGCCAGATCTCGGTCGCCATGTACTTGCTCCAGTGGGTGCCCGAGACGGCCCCAATGACTTGACCGAGGACGTTGAAGCCGACGTTCGAGTATGCAAAGCCCGGTCGGACCTTTCGCGTCGTGTTCATGTACCGAAGTCGTTCGATCCCTTCGCGCTCCGAGGCAATCACACCCATCATTTGCAGCTCGTCGCCCTCGTGGTCGCCAAAGACCGAGTTGTGCGACGCGAGGTCGCCGATCGTCGTGACTTCTTCAGCGTACTTGTCTTGGAGCGTGAACCACGGGAGGTGCTGCTTGACAGTGTCGTGCCACTGGAGCTTGCCGTCGTCGACGAGCTTGGCGAGTGCGATGGCCACGTGCGTCTTGGATACGGACCCGAGCTCAAAGAGCGTGTCGGCGTCGACGGGATCCGTGTTCACGCCGGCCTGCTTGGTGCCAAAGCCGCGGGCAATCAACGTCTATTCTCCAGGATCAGGGACCATTGTACAATGGTACTAGATGAACGCACGTGGTTGCCTTGCACGACAGCGAGGGCGAGGCCCGGGTAGTGGAAGCGCTCGCGCTGGGCTTCAATGAACGCAATGGCGTCGTTCACCTTGCTTGCGTGCAGCGCACTCGGGCTCGACACCATGGACGCGAGCTCCGGTCCGAACGGGAGACCGAGAAAGGTCGCGTACGCGCTAATGAGTCGCTGCATCCGTGTCGAGCAAACTGCAAAATGACAGGACGATCGCGGGTGCAATATCAGAGTGTAGGTTGTGAATGATGGTCGCTTAGATTACCCCAGCTCGGAGTAGCCCTTGAACGGCGTCAACACCGTGGGCAGGAGTACACAGCTGTGTGTGAATATAACGCCAAGAGCCTCGCATTTCGGAGGATTTCCTTCGCCAAAGCATTAAATGGGCTGATGCGACCGTTCATTGTTCATTGCGCGCGATTGTGACGAGGCGTGGAACTTCAACACTTTCGTACTGGCGTAACCAGACACACCATCGACAGCCTCGATGCAAGCAGGATGGCGGGAGTGAATGGTAACAGGTAGAGCTGTCCTTAATGCATGTACTCGTCTGCGTCGCAACATGAGCATGATTGCGCCAATGCAAAGTAGACACTCGAATCACGGCGGCATGAGAAGAGCGAACGATTCCGGTGGCCGTTTGGACTCACGATGCAGCGACCTGGTAGCGAGCGACCTGCCGTGCACGAATCAGGTCGATCCCAATTCTACTGCGAGACTGGCCTCGAGCGTTGAAGCGCTCGAAACACTGGACCAGCATTTCGGCCTCGTTGATCGTGTAGTCATCAGGACCACGCTCGTCCAATGGTAGAATTTTCAAACGACGTTCAAGCGGCCTTACGACGTCGCGTCGCAGAGCCTATAGAGGCCGTACGCGACGGCAAACCAAAAGAGGCTTATCGCCACGTCCCACGGCGACCCGAGAAGCACGCGCATCGCCGACCGGGCTTTGGGCTCCAAAAACACGAGGTACTCGACGCGCACGCCCCGCGGGTCGGTCAGCACATAGTACTTGGCGTCCGGCGTCGCGCCCGGCAGCGTCGTGAGCCGGTCGCGGTCCGCGAGCACGAGACAGACCGCAACACAAATCGCGTCTCGGGAGAGAACGCCGCTACCACACCCACCCCGTCTTGCAATAGTACTGACGACGACGGAGGGTATTACCTGGGTGTCCACTGCTGGCTTGGCGTGCCGTAGGCAAAGTTCATGGCGACCTGCGCGCTCTGCGCAAAGTAGATGCCGTCCCCAAAGACGTTGCCAGAGCTCATGTGGCGCGTGCCACTCATGACGTGGAGTCCGTTCTGCAGAATCGAGTGGAAATGCGCGAGTTTGCTGCCGTGAAAACACTCTACAAACAAATGCTACGAGGCAGCAGAAGAGGAGGCTTCTCGTCGTACGCGCCACGCCGTGCTGCGCCGCCATGTCGTCAAACCACGGGTCGCGGCTCTGGTGGACTTTAGCGACTAGCGCAATGTCGAGCTCCCCCTTCTCTACACCACCACACATTATAAAGAGCGGCATCACCCACAGAGCGATCGCGCACCGAGGCAAAGCGATGCAGGCAGCGCGTCTGTGGTCACCTACCCCGCATGCACATGACCTTCAGCATCTGTTGAGTAGCATACCAGTGATAATGAGACGGGTAGGCGGCACCAGACCCAGTCAAGGAGAGCAAGTGTTGGACGGGACAAGGTCGGTGCTCGGCAACGTCAAGGCCACAATATCAACTTGATACATGCACGAAGATCGTCATTCGAAAGGATATCATCGAGGTTTGCGCGTTGGAGTTCGGGAATCGACGGCACCTCGGAAAGTGTTTCCTTCTACTCCGAGTCAGCATCAGGGCGCCAGCATGCAGCAGCGAGGATGGACGCACCAGTGTGGCGAGGTTAATCTCGCCAGTATGTCGCTTGAACATTGGCGGAGGCGGTGAGAGGCGGTTCGGACTCGTGGCCGCGGTGGCCAAGAGGCACAGCATGACGTCGCATGTATCGGGCTGCGACGCAAGCCGCGCAGCGACACGGGCGATGGCCTTGGCGCGTCTCTCGTCGTCGTCGCCGGCGTCGGCGCGGACGTCGAGCACCGCTTGCTCGACAGCGTGTACAAACTGCAGCGCCAGAAACGGCGTCGATAGCTTGTCGTTGAGGATCGCGACTGCTGACGTGGCCGCCTACGTGACGTGCAGCGTTGCCAATCATCGGTGTCGCCAGCGGTACCTCGGAGGCATCGTCGTTGGACGCGTAGCAATAGACAGTCTCGTCGGCCGCTGTACTTGCCACGTCAGATATGCACTTGTCATATCCCATACAACCTGGAAGGAAGAAGGCGAGGTCGTGCAGGTCGGGCAAGGCGGCGGCAACGGGGGCAAAGTTGACGGTGAGCGTCAGCGTCGAGGACTCGGCTGCCCATGTAGCACGCTCCAAGCAGGCAGGTACGGTCAAGTGGAGGTGCGAGGCCTCGATGATCGAGCTGTCCCAGTCCCCGCGCCGGCTCCGGCGGCAGTTGATGAGCCCCAGCACGAAGCTCACCTCATCCTCCATGGCAGCAATAAGAAAGAAAATTAACGCCTTTGATTGGCTATGCCAATGGGCATTTTGTCCAATCCTCGATCGTGACGTTACACCGGGCCTATCTTGGCCACAGATTTGTCTGTATTTCAAACGACAACGAACAGACGCAAACATTGGGCATGATATCTACAGAGTTAAATACGCCTCCACTGTGACCACGCGGTAGCCTAGACGATCGAGTGGTTCCGGCGGAGGCGCAGCATGTCGCTCTCGGTCAGCATTGGGCTGGCTTGGTGGTGGTACGTGAACGAGAAGCCGTAAAACTCGTCTTCCACGCTCGTACTCGACGTCTCCTACGCACCAAACTGAGAGTCGTGCGTCGTTCGGAGCTTCTATTACCTCGTTGACGAGGTTGGGCACGGCGTCCTTGGTGAACTCCTTGTCAAAGTTCTGAAGGTCCGTCGGGCTTTGGAGGCGCGGCTTGAACGGCGGCTTGAGCCGCTTCTCTTCCAGCGCTTTCCAGTCGAGGCCCTGGAAGAACGGGTGGGCCTTGAGCGCCGGCGCTTGCAGCCGCTTCGTCGGGTCCCTACCACCCTTTATGCGTCTCTGCACCATTGTCGTCGCGGGATCGTACCGTTCGAGGAGACCGCGGATGAGCGACTTGGCCGCCGACGAAATACCAAAGCGCGCGGGAAAGGCCAGCGGAGCAATCAGAATGTTTTCACACATCTTTTGCACGTCGCGGTCAAAGTACGGCGGCCAGCCCGTGAGCATCTCGTAGAGAAGCGTGCCGAGGCTCCACCAGTCGATCGCGCTGCCGTACATCGACTTGTGCTTGCGACTGAGGAGCATCTCGGGCGCGAGGTACTCGGGCGTACCGCAAAACGTGCGCGCGCCGGACGTGCTCGTGACCTGCTTCTTGGAGAGGCCAAAGTCGGTGAGGCGCAAGTGGCCGTCGGCGTCGAGGAGGACGTTCTCGGGCTTGAGGTCGCGGTACACAATGTTCTTCGAGTGCAGGTATCCGAGGGCCGAGATGAGCTCGGCGGCGTAGAAGCGCACCATGGACTCGGAGAAGGCGCGGAATTTCTTGAGGTGAAAGAAGATCTCGCCGCCGCAGCAGTAGTCTGAGACCATGAAGAGCGTCGACTCGGTTTGGAACGAGCAGCGCAGCGCGACGATGAACGGGTGCTTGAGCGCGCTCATGACCTCGCGCTCCGTCATCGTGTGGTCCACTTGGTGGCGCTGGATGAGCTCCGTCTTCTTGAGCACCTTCATCGCGTACAGCGTGTTCTTATCGTCGCGCGTGCGAACAAGGTACACCTTGCCAAACGACCCTTTCCCAAGCACCTTGAGGATGTCAAAGTCGGCGACCGACCACTTGCGACTTGGGTCGAACGACGTGTCGAGGTACAAGTCGATCGGTGGCGTAACCACGTCCAGCGCCGCGTGCTGGGTCGTAAAGGTCGAGCCGATCTCGGACGTCGGCGTGCGCCCGGCCGGGTCTACAAGCCAAGCATGAGCGATGCATACGATTGCACCATCGATCGCAGGTCGCACCGTTCATAGAATTGTCGTCTGCGTCGGGCGCAAGGAACGGCGTGAGCTCGTGCGGACGCGGGCGCATGGCCAAGAGGCTCTGGACATAGCTACACCAGATCATGAGGATGCTACGCATCTGCGGCGACGCTGGTTACCCCTCGAGGCCGAGCCGTCGCTGCTCAATGACACGCAGCGAGAGCGACGAGAAGAAGCGCTTGGGCGGGAACGGCAGGCTGCGCACAGACGCGTAGCGCTTGCAGAGCCCGAGGTGGAGGTCGCGGAATTGGCTGTAGCGCTTGGCGAGCGACCAGGACGCGCTGCGGCCCTGCACGGTGATCTGGAAGCTCGTGAAGCGCTGGCCGCCACCGCGGGCGGTCTGGTTCTCGAGCTGCGAGTTCCACGTCGGGATCCGCGCCGTCACGACGTCGAGGACGGACCAGGTCATGATGGCAAATGCTGCCCATTTTATTTCGCTGCGGCCCCTCTATCACTTTGTATGTAATTTAATCTTCCGTGCCGAGTCCGCGTTTTAATCGCGTTAAAGTTCCGCCGTAACGTTCCGCAGATCGCGGTAAACGCTGCTGGTCGCGCCTATAAGCACGGGGATGGGGCGGGTGGTGCCATGGCGCGTCGTGTGCAAGGGCCGACCGCGGGCGGCGCCGAGGCCAGTGAGTGGCGACCCTTGCACCTCGCCTGTTACTGCCTTGGCGACCGGGTGTAATGCTCGGCTCGTTTCGCGGGTCTGGGAGCAGCTCTGGCGACAGGTCGCACATGCAGTTGAACGATCCTACGTACGTCGAGAAGTCGAGTACGCAGATGACTGGCTTGGGCGGTGACAGAGGACGCAGCGACACTTGCGCCAGGAGCCAGGAACCAGCGAGTAGCCTGCGTGGGTGTCAGCTGTCGCGCCACGCGCGCCGCCTCTCGATGCTCTTCTCTTCGCCTCTTCGTCATCATCGTAGCAGCGTCGATCTCAGTGTGTCGCGTCAAACGCTGCTGCTGTGTGGTGCTGCCAGCTCAAGTTGCGTGATCCTCGCACAAGTAGCTTGTACTAATTCATAAACACGCAACTCCATTTCCAACCCCCTTTGTTGCACATGGTCGCACGCTGCAACGCATTGCTTATCAATACATGGTGGCGGTACGTGAAGGCCATGCATCGCGTTGCTGCTGTGCGTACGCGTCGCACACTGTAGAGCCGCTCGTGGCGTGATTCCATCGCATCCACAGTGCAGCCAGCTAAACGCACGCTCATCAGCGCGCTCATCAGCGGCGCTGGCACACGCCGCGCGGCCTTGCGTTCAATGCAAACGCGCTGGTCAATCGCAGCTGTAACATCGGCATGACCTGTGCTCTCACGCCGGCGGCGGCGTTCGGCCGACACGAAAAGTTGGGTGCATTCAGCCACGGTTTTGGACGAACGACAGTGAAGAATAAATAAATTGCTCCAGTGGCATGGACCGATCCAAGACGCTGGCGCTGTACCGCGGGATCCTGCGGCTCCACCGGCAGAAGCTCGAGCCCGTCATGCGCGTCCTCGGCGACCGCTACGTGCGCGACGAGTTCAAGCTGCACAAGACGGCCAAGCCCGAGTTCGTCAAGGGCTTCCTCGCCGAGTGGGAGTCCTACCACGCGATGCTCTCCAAGCAAGAGGCACGCTTTGGCCAGGACCTTAGCGCCGAGCACCGCAAGCTTCTCGACGACCAGCAAAAGCAGAAGCTCGACGAACTTCGCGTGGCGGCCACGAAGGCCCACGATCCGTAGATGCCATGAACACGACTCCGTACATATATCAAAATTCTCGGTCTCTTAGGCGGCAATCAACTGCTGCGCTGGCTGATGGAACCAGTCGTTGATCGCAGCAAGAAGCGCCGGAAGGTGTGTTGTGAGGATCGCATCGGCCTGCGCCTGGAGCTGCAGTACACGGGGCGCCCACTGCGCTTCATCGCACGCGTGGAGCGTGGCGACTTGGGCGAGGAGAGCTACAGAGCACTCACTTACAAGCCTCTATGGTGCAGTGTACCTTGGTGCTCCGCAGCCATGGCTGTCGCAGCTGCCTTCTGGGCCTCGAGCGCCGTCAGACTACGTCGTGTGCATCCGAGTGAGTCACTTCGCGTAAGCAGTCTACCTGTGCTGGAGGTGGGTGTAGAGGCGTAGCTGGGTCTCGCCGTCGAGGGCGCGGAGGAGCTGGTGGACATTGCCGTAGTCGGGCACGTCGAGACTCTGTGCGAGGCGACACAGCGCGTCGTGAGGGTCGCCGATTCTGGCCACAAAGGGCGTTGGACGCGACGCAAAGACCGCCGCCGTGCGCTCTTCGTGGCCGAGCGCCTGTAGCTGCTGCTCGAGCGGCGCCAAGTGGCCCTACTCGCGTTGCCTCGTACTGAGAGAGGGGTCGATGGGACGTGTCGTACAAGGTACGGCGATAGAATGGTGGCGTGCACCGCTTGCAAGAGCTGGTTGTGCTGGTCCAAAATGTGCAGCACGAGTGCTCGGTTGCGCTGAAACGCGATCGAGATCTCTCTCGTCGTGGCCTCAAAGCGGTTCGTAAACGCCTGGATCTCGTGCACTTGGGTCTGGATGTGCGCGTTGTGCGACTGCTTCGCGGCGATCGCAGCCTCGACCTCTTGCTCGTACTGCACCAGGAGCGCGTAGACGGCTGTGGCGACAACGTGGGCCTCGTCCGCTTCCAGATACGCGCGCAGCGAGGGCTAGAGATAGTACAATATATCGTCGAGCTGTTTCAGCTCGAAATATACCGAGAGGTTGGCTGGGAAAGGAGGTAGTGCGGACGGCGGGTATTGCTTCTCCGTCTGCATACAAGACACGTCGATGTTGCAAAAGTGCAGAGATGGGTCTACTGCTTGGCGTAGCTTCATGGTTTGTACAAACTGAGCAATGTGGTGTTGCTGTCGCTCCTGGAGAAGGGCGCGGACAGACGTGAGCGTATCAACTTTCTGGGTGGGCATTGGTCGCTGGGCACCGAACGCCGTGGGCAGAGATGCTGGCGGTTGCTGCTGGAGCGCGTGGACAATGTCCAGACCACTGCAGACCTGAAACACATTCTGCGCACAGCTTGAGTCGCCTCCAATTGTTTGACGACACGCGATACCTCGACGAGGTTGGTCACGGGCGGGTCGATCTGGTCGCGCTGCGTGGCACAGTCGTGCTGCAGCGTATCCAAGGCGGCATCGACCACCTCTTGCGTCGTCTTGTGCATATGCGACGGTCGCGGTAAGAGTCGCTGCTTCATGTTGGCCACGGTCGCCACGTGCGCGCCTTGGTTGCACTGCAACACGTTGGCTTGTCCGTGGAGGAGCACTTGGCTGCGCTGGCGCTGGCGTATCGTCTCTGCAAACACATGTGCGTCGTGCTCCACGGTCGAGAGAGCGGCGAGATCCTTCTGGTTCTCGGAGCGCACGTTGGCCAGCGTACGCTCCAAGAATGCTTTCTTCTCCTTCAAGGCAGCGCACGCGTCACGCTTTCGCTGGCGCTCGGCCCTACGACCGCAGCAAGAACGTCAGCGCGTATGACCAAGGCAGGCTTCGTCGCACGTAGCATTCGTGGCTTCGTGGCGGGCGATGCGGACGTTGCGCCGGTACAGCTCAATGGTCGCGGGCGCGTGCACGTTGAGCGCTACCCAGTGCCACACAGGCTCGAGTGAGCCGCGCATGAGCGAGTCCACGTCCTTGGGCTCCAGCGGTCCCGCGCCAGCGAAGCTCCCAAGCGGCGCGTACCCAAGGCGCTCGACGGCCGCGAGGAAGGACCGGTTCCGCTCCTGCCGGGCGGACATGGCCTGGATTTCGAATTATGCGGACGGTCCGGTTAACGACGCCTTGGCCAACAAGTAAGTGCTCAACAGCTCAGACAATCAATCACCTCTGAAGCTGAAGGCGATTGACTTATAACATCGACTGCTCGTACCTTTGTGGAGGCACTTTAATCGATCGCTCGCGACGTCAAGTAAATCTGTCTGCTCCCACGCGACGCAGGAGGGCATGTTAAAGCTTAAAATATACTAGTAGATTAGTGTAGTTGGGGTGGTGCCAAGACGTCGAGGTCGTGCAGCTGATCTGCTGTACGCACTACTCGGCCTGAAGCCACTTGGATAGCAGTTCCATGGCAGTCCATAGGTTGGGGCACACGGAGCGGATAAAGCCTTCGCGGTCGTTGACCCCATACTCGCCCTATAAGTCGCATCATTTCTGAGTTGTCGAAGCGATCATCGAGACGACGACGCACCTCGCTGCCAATGACGTACATGGCGATTTCGCCCTTAAAGTCCACAAAAGCAATCCGAGCATAGAGCTCATGGGCCGCGCGGCCAAAGTACGAGCCGGGCAAAATCGCAACCCCTACCCCCAAAACACATGTCGCATGGCCGTGCCCAGTCGAGTAGAACCAACCCGTGTCGGCCAAGAGGCGCTCACACATCTCGACGTCTGTGACGATGTTGCGCGCGGCGAGCTTCTGTCGATAGTTGCGGAAGCACGGGAAGACGTGGAAGCCGCCTTGAGGCGGGTGCACGAGGATGTTCATCTTGAGGAGCTGGTACGTGCACCACTCGGCCACGAGCTGCAGCGTGCGGCGGCACTTTTGCTTGTACGCGCTGAGCTCGGGGCAGTTGGGCACGAAAGCGCGCCGCGCCGCGTATTGGATCGGTGACGCGACCGACGTGTACGTCTCGGAGGCCATGACGAGCATGCTCTGGCGAAGCCAATTGAGGCTCGCGCTAAAGAGCCAAAAGCCCACGCGCCACCCGCCGGCGCCGCACCATTTGCTCAAGCCGCCCGACACGATCGTACCTTCCGGGTAGTACCTGCGCAGTGTATATCAGCGCCACGGTCGCCTTCGAATCGACGTACTTGGAGATGGAAATGTGCGGCTCGTACGTCAGGTCCGAGTAGATCTCGTCCGAGACGACCAGCATCCGGTACTTCTTAGCCAGCACCGCAATGGCTTGCAACTAGCACGAGACGGTCAGATAAGACGCGAGACACCACGTACATCAGAGTCCGAGTACGAGCAGCCGGTCGGGTTGGACGGCGAGTTGAGGATGAGAATACGCGGTGCATCTACGCGGCGTCAAAAAATCACGCGTAATTGCAGAGGAGTGCATACAAGGGTCCATGGCGCACTGGGCCTCCAAGACCGACGGGCGGAGCACCCAGCGGTCTTCGGCGTATGTCGGCAGCCAAATCATGTTTCTACAAAGCTCCAAGTAAGGCTATAAGATCCCAGATTTTCGTACCGGCCAGCAATGTTGGCTTGGGGCGCATAACTCGTGCAGCTCGGACTCGGAAGGAGGAGATCGCCATAGTAGACAGTCTGGAGCACAAACAGTAGCTCCTTCGTTCCTGGTCCGACGAGGACATCGTCCTTGGAGTATGGAAGCTTGAGCGTCTCGGTGGCCCACGTGGCGATGTCCTCGCGCAGTTCGGCGAGCCCGGCCACGGGCAAGTAGTCGCGCTGGTGCGCATTGGCCCTAGTATCGCCGATGATGGAATATGAAAGAGCGAATAACGTTGCATCTACTTGAGCTCGTCGACGATGCAGTCGGGCACGGGAAACGGCGACTGCCCAAGGCCGAGCTTGAAGACGGGTCGGCCAGCGCGCACCATTTCGTTGCTGAGCTCGTCAATGGCGCTCGAGGCCGCTGTCTGCATCGTGCGCACCTTGCAGTTGATGACCTTGTAGGGGCCCTTGACGACTTCGGGGACTGCTGGCAATGCCATCGTCGGCGGCGGCGCCGGGTCCTCGCTCTCGGTCTTGGGCGACGCGTCCTTGCTCGTCATCGCATGCACGCGGCGCTGCAAGGTGCTGCGCACGACCGCGTACTTCTTGGTCGCGTGGCGGATCGACATGTGGCCATACACCACCGCGTGCACTGCATCCAGCATGTTCTGGTCGTCGGCCTTGGCGGCCTTGGCCGCTGCGTCCACGGTCATGCTCGACGACGTTCGGATGATCTTTGGGCCCGGCCCACTCGAAGTATTGTGCCTACAGCAAGCGCGCCAGCGGGCGAAGTTTCTGCCTTCGAACTTCGATGCGCAGGGCCGACAGGCCAAATGGAGTTCGCGGGACGCCGGCGCCGCCAACAGACATTATTGTCCTTCGCTCGTGTTCGCTGGGTTGGAAAGATGTGGACACTATTGTCTCTAGTCGCTTCGCCACGTGGCATCGGTTCCATGCCCTCCTTGCGAGCTCTCGACCCACTAATACCAAAAAATAGTGGATGCGGCGGGAACGCGCGCAATGACGTTATATAGTGTGGCATAGATACGACTATCGCTCGCTACGGTGTGGCTTGCCCCCACGACGCATAGTCGGCGCGCTCGCTGGCCTTGTACTCGTCGATCATGTTGGTGACCACCTCGCGTGCATTGTCGAACTCCTCGAGGCCTTCAGCGAACATGGGCTGCTTGCGGTACTGGTCGATGAACGCGTTGTGCTTGCGGAGGCGGTCGTAGTGCACGACGGACCGGTGGAAGAGGTTGCCAATGCTCGTGTGGTTGGCGAGCATGAGCCCGTTCACCTTGTGCGCCGACTCGACGTACGGCGACTTGCGCGAGAGCGCGACTTGGATGCTGGCGGGGCCCCACGGGATAAACTTGGCGAGTTTGCGCTCGCGGATGCGCTGGAGCGACTTGTGCACCTGCGTCGGGTCGACATCGCCCTGGATGATGTTCAAAATGGAAATGTAGCATCCGTTCTTCGTCGACGTCGAGACCATGATGTTTTTCGGCTAATCCATCGTGCTGAGGCCATGCGACATTGAGATGGAAGAGAGAGACCTGGAGAAGGCGTCGCATGACATCGAGCACCGTCGTCTTGCGCACGGCGCTGACCTGCGTGCAACATGAGCATCCTGCGTGGACACAAGAAGAAAGAGCATACTTGGGCGTCAATGGTCAGCGGCGTGTACCCCGTCATGAGAAAATGGCAGCGGGGCGTCGGGATGAGCGAGGCAACGAGACCAATGAGATCGTTGTTCATGTAGCCTGGGTATCGCAGCGTCGTCGTCGATGCAGCCATCACGGTCGAGACCAGCGAGTTGAGCTACAGAGAGCGTGAGTCATCGAAAGTCTACCGGCCATTTCGTACTTGGGATACGGTCGGGTTGTCGATGCGCAGACGGTCCACTGCGATGCGGTTGAGCGCCGTGTTGTCGAGGACGACGACGCAGTCTGCGTTCAGGACGAGGCGCTTCAACGTCAAGAGCGAGTTGTACGGCTGCACGACGACATCGCTCTGAAAGTCGTCCTAGCACCACCGACAAGTCAGCTTTCCATACCATCATGCAGGTCGTCCTACTTGGTTGGGAAAGACCGAGTACGTCTGGATGAGCTTCTTTGGGAAATGGTCGTTGAGGTTCTCGAGCAAGTACGAGCCCATGCCCGAGCCCGTACCGCCAGCAATCGAGTGGCAGAGCACAAAGCCTTCGAGGCTATCCGAGCCATCGGCCTCGCGGTCAATCATCTCCATGAGCAAGTCGTGGTGCGCCTCGCCTTGGTGGTAGCCGGACGCCCAATTATTGCCGGCGCCGCCGCCGTCCTTGGCGATGAACTGGTTTTCGGGGTTGTATAGATTGCGGTAGCTTGAGTTCATGATCGAGTTGATCACGCGCGGCTCGAGGTCCAGCAGGAGCGCCCGTGGGATGTAGTGCTCGTCGTCGGCCTGGTAGAAGAAGACGTCCTTGCGGTCGTTGCCAGCCATCGCGTAGTCCTGGACGATGCCATCCTGGCTGATGCCATGCTCCACGCAGAGCTGCTTCCAGAACTCGGACCCGATCTGGTTGCCGCACTGGCCGACCTGGAGCGTGATGATCTCCCGGGGCATCTTTTCCACAAATGCAGACCATCCGGATACGCACCGGATATCCGTGTCTAGAAACACGCTCCTCGATCCAAACATGCATTGCCAGAGGTGGTCAACCTCTCAGAACGCATCGTTGGCGCCAAAACGGACACCAGCGAAAAGCAGCCAAACGAAGAAGAGCTCGGCGAAGACAGAGACACGACTACCATTCGTACAAAAGACTACGTAGAGGCCTCAAGTCTCGGGTCGGTCACGCAGCAGATGGCGGCGTCGTCACACGAGGTCTCATCGATGATTTCGACTGGGAACATTTCAAAGAACGGCGGCTTGGCCCCTCGGTTGTCGTTGAGGAATTGGAACGAGGCGGTGCACGAGGGCCCGTGGCACGCCACATCGCGAAAGCCAAGGGGCGTGTCGACGCCGCACGGAGTTTTGCTGCAGTACCAAATCGGGCTGTAGTCGCCCTTGGTCGTGCTATAGCAGACGTGATCGCCGTCATCGCAGCCCGGAAAGACGATCGACGGAGCGATCTACGCAAGCATGAGACCAGCAGTAGTGTGTTGACGCCGCGACAGGTATATTGGGCAAACAAATACTGTTGCGACTGCCGATGTACACGAGACCGCAGTCGTTAAAGCGGTGGGGACTCACGGCCGCCTACCATCGGGTATTGTACATGCACGCGAGCGCCTTCGTGACATACCGCGGCGGCCGCGCACACTTTGAGCGTCTGTGGCGCCGAAAAGAAGGACACGTTGCGCGGCGTCGAGAGATACAAACTGACGGCAGGGTTGCACGCAGTGCACTGGATCGCCTTGAGCGTCACGAGCGCTGCATTGGGCGCCGCGGCGCAGATGGAGCCTAACACAAGCCTCGCCTTCGAATACTAGTACGGCGAGGAACCGCGTACCCGCCGACAGAATGCTGTAAAAGGTGTCTTTGATGTACTCGTCGTGAATCGGAATACAGCAGCGACCGTTCGTAAAGGCGGTGCAGAACGACATGATCCCCGAAAGAGGAGTCTATCGCACAAGTCCATCATCGTACGCCACGAGCTGGCGACGCACCAACGAGACGGGCGCGCCATGCGTGACGGTGCAGCGATGGTTCGAGTAATCAATCGGCGGTGCACCCTTGTTGGGTCCAGCCTCCGCGCAATAAGCGATCCACGCAAGGCCGAGCCAGCGTGCGATCGACCATCCGTGGAGCATCGGGGAAAAGGTCGGCTAGACCGAAACGGCCGCGAAGCTTTGTCGACTTGGCGTCGGAACGCGGGAAAGTACGATGCAGCGTCCAAGGGCAAGTGCACTTACTGCGTTAAGCGTCATGCTGTCGTTCGATTGAATGCATCGTGGACTTGAGCAGTCAGTGGTCGTGCGACGTATCAAGTCGCACAATGCATGTACAAGTGAGCAATAGGTGCGCTTACGAAGGTTCCCGGATGAGCTCCGTACATCAAACTAGCACCCATCGCCGATGGGTGGGCGTGCGATGCCCACTGCACGCATCTACTGATGGCACGAAGAACCAATGGCCCTCGGGTGTTTTGAAGGGTTAGTGTCGCAACGGCATCTCCCTCGCCAGCGCGTCGAGTGACCGCCGATTTGAGCCTCGTCCTACTTCGCCCCATCCTGCACGTCGTATCCTTCTCGACCCACGGCTATGTATCCCATACTCAGACTCGCCTGACCTCGTGCAGTGCACCAAGCTCTGCGTAGCCTGCGCCAGCGCATCGCGAGGCGTCGCGCTTGTCTATCGTGGCGCCACGTCAGCGTCGCGTGACGCTTAAAATCCGGATACAAACAACCGATGGGTGCGGCTTGACCAAACGCTGTGCCGCCTCTTCTTTTCCACAGTGCACGCGTCGCTACAAATAGCAAGTGTACTCCTTGGCCCATTAAATCGTCGATTTTAAAATATGCGACACGCGCCGTGGCTCAAGTGACTTTACCGGCCACCGGGCTCGTTTTATCCGGACGCTCAGTTTGCATTTCGATTTCGATGGCAACGAAGCGGCCGGCCGCCGAGCATGAGAAGCCGCCCGCCCAGAAGTGGCGCAAGGTCATGATCGGCGACGTCGAGATCAAGCTCTTGGAGGAGAAGCCCGTCCACGAGGGCGCGATCCAGCACCTCCCGCTGCCGTCCTCGGACGTCAATGTCTACGTGCAGCCGCCGCCCTGCCTCGTCTTTTACTCGTTTGAGGAAATGACATCGTCGCTCGCCACGTACTTTGAGTCGACGCACCAAGAGTTCTCGACGCGCAACTCGGTCTCGATCGAGCGCATCAACGGCACGCGCAAGCTCAAGGAGAAGTTTCCCGAGAACGACCCGCGCTTCGTCTACTCGTCGATCACGTACTTTTGCAAGCACGGCCGCGCGCAGAAGCGCCGCAACAACCCGGCACTCGAGGAGACGGGCAAAGGCCGCAAGGTCAAGTTCAACTACTCGGGCTGCCAAGCGTCGCTCTGGGTGAGCCTCGTCCAGATGCTCGTGCGCGGCCGGCCGCAATGGGTCTACTATGCGCACAAGATGGTCAACTGCCACAACCACACGCTCGAGCAAGAGTCGCTCCAGGACATTGCCTCGGTCAAGCCGTTTTACCGCCACTTGCGCGCAGTCATTGAAGCCAAAGAAGACGGCGCGACGACCCAGGAGATCGCCAAGCTGCTCGAGCTCAAGGAGCCTGGTACGACGCGACCGACGGTGTTAAGCGGGCTCAGGAAATACGACTCTAGGCAAAAAAGTGACGGCCCAAGTCGTTCGAAATCTCATGCGCAGCACCATGTACGCCAAGGAGAAGGAGCGCAGCGGCCGCACCGTGCCGTCCATGGGCCAGGTCCAGGCGTGGAACCCCTTGGCGCAGGTATCAACATCTCGCGTTGCATAGGTCTTCTATAGGATTCAAATAGCGCAAAGTCCCGGTCGTGCTTTCGCTGCCCTTTCACCGCCTCTTTTACACCATGGTCAAGTACAGCACCGAGCTGCGCCTCGACCCGTCGCGCGTCTTCTTCTTGAACCAGTCGTCGATCTCGTCGGTGCTGTGCCGGCAATGGAAGAACGTGGCGACCGATACGTCGACGCAGGTCCAGACAACGCTGCACACGACGATCCTCACGGTGGTCGACGCTGCGGGCACGGGCCTTCCGCCGTTCTGCATCCTGCCGCGCACCGAGACGGAGCGCCCGGTCATGGCGCAGCGGTCGGTCTCGACGGTGAACGGCGCCATGACCCCCAGCGCGCTCGAGCTCTGGATGATGTACTTTGACACCGCGATCCATTGGAACGTCCAGCGGCCCGTCGTGCTCATTGTCGACCAAGTCGCGCGGTCGCACGCGCTGACCCAGATCTGCTTTCGCCTCGGCATCATCCTCGTTGCGTGGCGGGAGCTCTACCTCGAAAACGAGAGCGACGTGGTTTTGCCCGTGCGCCTCTCGGTGTTTCGGCCGTTTGAAGTTGCCCTCGCCGCCCACCTCTCGGAAGTCCTTCCGAACCTCTCGACGTCGCGCGTCATGTCGAGTGACATTTTGGACATTGCCACTGACGTGTACAAGCAGAGCCTCGCCACCGTCGGCACAGACGTGGCCGTTGCCGCCATCAAGACCACGGGTCTGTACCCGCCGTCCTTGCCGCTTCTGAGCGCACCGCAGACGGCGCCGGCGACCAACAAGTCTGTGCTCTACGTCGAAGAGAAGCGAACCGCGTCCATCACGATTCAGTCGGGCTCGAGCCGGCCGCGCGCATAACACGTCCAATTTACTGTAGCGTTAGGGAATAGAAAAACAGAGCTGGATGTGTGTGGCGACTCCTGTATCAAGTTGATACAACGCATCCACGCGGATCAGCGCTTGGTCGCTATCGCTTCGACGTACTTGGACCACACGTAGCTGGATGCTTCGTCCTTGCCGAGCAGGCTCTGAGCCTACGCCATCGTCGTAAGTAGCCTCGTGGCGCTTGGCGTCGGTCTTGCGTGCGTCGTCGAGCTGCAAGAGTTGGTGCTGCAGCTTTTGCATCTCGCGCTGGAAGAGAACGCTTTTGTCGCGCTCGCGGTCGATCGCATCGTTGGCCAGTGCGACGCGCTGCTCGAGCGTCTCTCGCTCCGACGTCCACTGGCGTAGCCGCGATGCCTCGGTGCGCGCCAGTGTCTCCACCTGCGCTTGGTACTGCTGCACGCGGTCCCGCAGCGTCTCGGCCTCTACACCCCGGCGTCCTATGCACCGGTTAAGAGACGAGTTACCTTGGGTCGCGTCGAAGAGAGACGTTTTGAGCTGCGATATCCGCGCGTCGCGCCGCCCGATGCGGTCGCCCATATCCTTTTGGAGGCGCGCCAGCATCGTCTTGGTCTCTTGCAGCTGGTCGTACACGACTGCTTTCTCGGTCCGCGACGCAGCCTCCATCTACGCCAGCTTCGAGACGTTTGTCATCCAGGATTGATGTACATCGGAGAAGGTGTCGCGTGCTTGCTCGTATACACTGATCTGCGCCAGCGCGACTTGCAGCTTGGACGATAGGTCGCGCACGTGGCGTTCCAAGCGCTTGGACAGCTTGGCGTCTTGCTCCTTGCGTGCCAAGAGCACTGCGTTGGCCTCGGCGAGCGAGCTCTTCTCCTCGCGTAGCGACGTCGCCTCGAGGTGGAGCCGACCGATCTAGAATGTGCGCATGCCATTTAGAGATCATAGGTGTTCATGTGCACCTCGGTCTCCTTGGCAAGGACGACGCGCGTGTGCTCGGCCAAGCGGCCTTCCAGATCCTAGCGCCACGCCGATCGATGCAAGAACCGCGAGCGATCGTACCTCGATCGTGTCCATGGCGGTCGTCAAGGCGCGCGTTTTGCGCTCGATCTCCGCCGTCGTAGACTCGAGGTTGGCCGCGAGCTCGCCCATCGTGCGTGCCTCGAGCGACGTCCCTTGGCCCCGCTGCGTGAGCTACACACAGCGGTTCGTGCCATACGCGAAGAAGCCTTGCCACCTCATGGCGCAGGCGGCGAATCTCGGCCGTGAGCTGCTGCACAAGGTCGTCGTCGTCCTCTTCGTGGATGCGCGAGGACCGAGCGCGAGATCGGTCCCTCCCGCTCCTCGTCAGCGTGGGTCGGCGCTCCTTGAGGCTCGAGACAGCTTCATGCAGCGCACGCTCGTACGCCAGGTTCTCTCTCTACGTAAAAGCAGCGCCGCATCACGCCATTGGCGCCACTGTAGCCACGAACCTGAAGCGCGGAGAGGTCGTCGAGCGACATGCCACTCGAAGATCGCATCCGGATGCGCTCCCGGCCAGCGAAACGGCCAGTGTGACGTGGCGCTCGGTGCGTGCAGCAATACCACCTGGTACGGCCATCCACTTGGAGAGCAACGCCGTCAGGAGCGTCAACGCCGTTCAGCGTCCCCATGCAGCAGCATCGCCCAACGAGCAGACTGCATTTGGGCGTTGCATGGACTCGGCGCAGACTTAACACAATGGGTTAAACGTGAACATATATATATACAATAGTGACTAGCTACAATAAATGAAGGTTGGACTGTTTACGCGTAAAGCAAGGGCATCGGCTCGTCCACGTCAAGCCACATGTTGGCTTGCATGTAATCCAGCAGCGAGTTGAGCTCCTCCGCCGCGGTCTCGGGCGACGTGGCGTCTTCTTCGGCCTCCACCACGGCCATCGTCGCGGGCGGGCGCTGGGTAATGCGGTCCATCGAATCCATGTTCGACGGCGCAGAGGCAAAGGTGTCGAGCGTCGGCGCAGGCAAGAAGGCGTACCACGCCGGCTCGACGTGTTCTGTCTCGGTAGTTTGCGGCGGCGGTCCGCACAGCGTGTGCAGCATACCCGACAAGTCACCGCTGCCGAGGTCGAGATCCAAGAAGCGGAAGTCAAGGGCGCCGTCCGTCGGCGGCAGCTCGGTCGTTGTCTCGAGTTCTTCGACGGGGTGGCAGCGAGGCGCCTTCTGCACGAAGGCGTGCCACGCCGGCTCGACGTGTTCTGTCTCGGTAGTTTGCGGCGGCGCCCCGCACGGCGTGTGCAGCGCAGTACCCGGCAAGTCACCGCTGCCGAGGTCGAGATCCAAGAAGCGGAAGTCAAGGGCGCCGTCCGTCGGCGGCAGCTCGGTCGTCGTCTCGAGTTCTTCGACGGGTTGGTAGCGAGGCGGCGAGTTGCGCGCGGTCGCGAGGGCCTGCTTCGGCATGCGTTTCCAGCGGGTCTGGCACTGGCGATACCTAAGAGAGAGGTGAGTCGTTGTGTCTTCGTCGACAGGTGGAGTAGCGTACGAGCGCGTCTCGACAATTTCGGCGACCGTGGTCCACTTGGTCGTGAGGGTTCGAGCGTGGATGAGCTTCTCGTCTTCTTCGGGAGTCCATGCTCCCTTTTTTGTGGACGTGAACTCGGAGTGCCACTTTTGTCTGCAGTCTTCTGCGCTGTGGTCCGGGAAGTCGAGCTGGGTCTTCTTCCATGTCGTGCGCTTGGGGTTCACACGCTTGAGAAGTGCAAGCTATGCAGGAGGGCGAGCGTGAGGCGACTGTGGGTGGCAAAGTAGAGGCACGAACCTGGTCTTTCGTCCACTTGGTCTTGTTGGTCGTGGTCTCGGTCTGGGGCTTGCTCATGGCGATCATTGTCTTACTTGGATGAAAATTGAAAACTGAGCATTTTGCTCATGCGTGATGACTGCCGGATATGAGGCGTTATCCGGCTAAATGGCAGCTGGGTGCTTGCGTCGAAGCTTGAAGTTTCAAGTCTGGAATCTATGAACATGATCGGATGTGGCGCCTGCAGGCATTACCTCGTTCTAGATGACCCTTTCGCGCATGATGCATAGAGGACATCAACAGCGTTAACAGTTTGGCGGTGCTCTGCCAGGAGAGGCCTGCACCACCGCGCTAGCCTCACCGCGCTGTAGGCTCGGTGGTTAAACTTGGAGAGGGAGCAGCGCACAGCTGCGTCCTGACGTGTGTGTCTGAGATTGATACAATTTCAATCTTTCTACGAGTGTCCCACCACCGAGCATACAGCGTGGTGCAGGCCTCTCCTGGCAGGGCTTGTACGGCCGTACCGCCAAACTGTTAACGCTGTCGATTTCCTCTGTACATCATGCGCGAAAGGGTCATCTAGAACGTGGTCTGCCTGCAGGCGTTTGCCGATGCCACATCCGATCGATTTGATAGATGGCAGACTTGACACTTCAAGCTTTGACGCAAGCACCCTGCTGGCCATATAGCCGGATAACGCCTCATATCCGGTAGCCACGGCGCGAGTGATAAAACTATTCACTTTACAATTTCCATCCACCGACCCACTTCAACAACGACAGCAATGACCGCCGTGTGCAAGCCCCTGAAGAAGACCAAGAAGACCAAGACGAAGAAGACCAAGTGGACGAAAGACCAGGTTCGTGCCTCTATTTTGCCACCCATAGTCGCCTCACGCTCGCCCTCCTGCATAGCTCGCAGATCTCAAGCTTGTGAAGCCCAAGCGCACGACATGGAAGAAGGTCCAGCTCGACTTCCCGGACCACAGCGCAGAAGACTGCAGACAAAAGTGGCACTCCGAGTTCACCTCCACAAATAAGGGGGCATGGACTCTCGAAGAAGACGACAAGCTCATCCACGCTCGGACCCTCACGACCAAGTGGACCACGGTCGCCGAAATTGTCGAGACGCGCTCGTACGCTACTCCACCTGTCGACGACGACACATCGACTCACCTCTCTCTTTAGGTATCGCCAGTGCCAGACCCGCTGGGAACGCATGCAGAAAAAGGGCCTCGCGGTGCGCTACGCGCCGCCTCGCTACCAACCCGTCGAGGAACTCGAGACGACGACCGAGCTGCCGCCGACGGACGACGCCCTTGACTTCCGCTTCTTGGATCTCGACCTCGGCAGCGCTGACTTGCCGGGTACTGCGCTGCACACGCCGTGCGGGGCGCCGCCGCAAACTACCGAGACCAGACACGTCGAGCCGGCGTGGCACGCCTTCTTGCAGAAGGCGCCTCGCTGCCACCCCGTCGAGGAACTCGAGACGATGAACGAGCTGCCGCCGACGGACGACGCCCTTGACTTCCGCTTCTTGGATCTCGACCTCGGCAGCGGTGACTTGCCGGGTACTGCGCTGCACACGCCGTGCGGGGCGCCGCCGCAAACTACCGAGACAGAACAAGTCGAGCCGGCGTGGTACGCCTTCATGCCTGCGCCGACGCTCGACGCCTTTGCCTCTGCGCCGTCGAACATGGATTCGATGGACCGCATTACCCAGCGCCTACCCGCGATGATGGCCGTGGTGGAGGCTGAAGAAGACGCCACGTCGCCCGAGACCGCGGCGGACGAGCTCAACTCGCTGCTGGAATACATGCAAGCTAACATGCGGCTTGACGACATGGACGAGCCGATGCCCTTGCTTTACGCGTAAACAGTCCAACCTTCATTTATTGTAGCTAGTCACTATTGTATATATATATGTTCACGTTTAGTGTGTTCAAGTCTGTGCCGAGTCCATGCAACGCCCAAATGCAGCCTGCTCGTTTGGCCATGCTACAGCATGGGGACGCTGTACGGCGTTGACGCTCCTGGCGGCGTTGCTCTCCAAGTGGATTACCACGTGGTATTGCTGCGCGCACCGAGCGCCACGTCACGCTGGCCGTTTCGCTGGCCGGGAGCGCATCCGGATGCGATCTTCGAGTGGCATGGCGTCGACGACCTCTCCGCGCTTCAGGTTCGTGGCTACAGTGGCGCCAATGGCGCGAAGCGGCGCTGCTGGCGCTGCTTTGATGAGAGACCGCTCAGGAAACGCGAATTCGATTCGACGGCCGGTCGACCAATGTATCAATGTATCAGTTTCTACATGAATCTACGGAGAGAAGACGGGGAGTATCGCATGCTGCCGCGTATGGCCGTGGAAGCAGCTCACGGCCGAGATTCGTCGCCTGCGCCACGAGGTGGCAAGGCTTCTTCGCATATGCTAGAGGTTGAATGAGATAAAACGTATAACAAAGTTGTCGACCTGCGCATGCTGCGCAGAGGTCATAATCGCTGCACACGCGGCAGTTGTAGCGCGGTCCGCTAAAGTCCGTGACGCCGCACGCGTCACAGATGAAGCCAAGGTGCCGGCCCTCCATGATGTACCGCAGCGTCTGCTTGGCGTCTTCGAGGCATTTGACATGCGCACTAGGCCACTTGTCAGCGTGTCCGATGCGATGCCAGCTACCTATGGATGCGGAAGCGAGGGATGTCGAGCGCTTCGCCCAGCGTCTCCAAGTCGTGCAGCGTCGGCATGTACAGCGGGTTGATAGCCATCGCCTGCGCTTCGGCGTACCTACAAGCAAGATCCAATCGCCAAAACGAGCCAGACGGCGTGTACACTTGATCGAGGTCGCGTTGTAGATACTGCCGTAATCGTGAGAGCGCGATGCTTGTCGTTCGCACCTCGGGCACGAGGATGACGATGTCGGACGCGGAAAAAAGGCGGTCGGCAGCGAGCGGTTCCGAGACCAGAAGTGGCGCAATCTCCTCGGTAAACGCATGATACACGCCGCTCGTCGATGCCAAGTGGCCTCGGAACGCGGCGGGCGTCGGGCAGTTGGCCAGAAGCACGCGGCCAACGTACTCGAGCTCGTTCCGCTCTGCATGGAATACCTTGACAAAGAGCACGTCGCCCGAGAGCCCTTGCGGGTCGACAAGCAGCTGGCAGCTCGAGTATGCATCAATGTCGACGCCGTCAATGAGCTGATGCCCAAACAGCGGGCTATGGCGCGACGGCGACACTGGCGACGGCTGGAGACACTTGCGTGGGCGCATTGTTTGGCTACGTATGAATATCGTATGTGTACCTAATACAGATATGTAGATAGGCTCGTACCCTGTGAGCACGCTTTGGCTGTAGCTCCAGAGGGTGCAGCCGAGTGGCAGGTCGGGCCACTTCTGCCGCACCAGCGCATGGAGCTCCTCCAATGAGGTACAAAACGGCACTTCCACCACGGTCGATGCTGCCTTTGGCAAGAGGCCTCGGCCGCGGTACACAGCAAGGTCGGGCTCGCGGTACAATCGCAGCGTCATGCTCATGAGCCGCACGCGTGCCGCCACACAGAGGACGCCACTCGACGACAGGTAGCCGCCAGAAGGACTCTTGAGCGTCTCCAGGTCGCCGAGCGCGTGCACGCCCCAGTTGAAGAGCGTCGTGTCGAACCGGTTGTCGTGCAGCGACGCGTGCCAGAAGATGCTATGCGTTCTCTCGAGTAACACAAAAGATACGGTCCTTTAATGTACTGTTTGGACGGGTCGGTCGCGTGTTCGATGCAGAGGCTAAAGACTGCACACGTGAGCCATGATGGCGGTCGCTTCTCGAGCTCCGTGACCACCTAATGCAAATCAGAAGAGAGATTGTAGGGTTGAAATTGGCATGCACGCACGAGGTAGACGGAGATGGACCGGCTCGCGTACTCGGGCTCGTGCGGGTTCCCACGCGGGAAGATCCAGAGACAAAACCGGTGGTCGTTGATCATAAAGGTGTCGGTGACGATGCGATCAGCACCGCAGTGGGCGAAATCGGGGATGGCCACTCGAATGCTCCCGTGTTGATTCTTCTAGAAACCAGAGACGGCGGGTGGTGGGGATGCCAACAACGACAATCTAGTACCGCATGGCGCTCGAGGAAGCACTGTCGCCAGCTTCCGCGGTAGAGTCGGATGACCTAGAGCATAACGAGGCGTGACGTGTTGATACTCGCTGGGGACGCACGCACGTCGTATTCCGGCGCTCCAGGCAGCTGCGGCAGCGGATGGGCCAAGCTCGGCCAAGCCAGAAGGCAGAGGTTCTTCCACACGGGCGCCGCATGCGTGAGGCTATACCACTGCGTGCTAACGCATGCGCATGCTAGCAAGCTTGGGCCATCGAGGAACGCGAACACGATGCTGACCACGTCCAGCGGGAAGCAGCTTTCGGCGCTCGGCGAGGGCTCAACGTACGTGGCCCCCATGACTTGGTTACCATCCTCCGGGCTCTGCGCGCAGGCCTTGGCGCCTTGGTTGTCGACTGGCTGCGGCGCCACGGACGTGTGCGTCATGAGCGCAACGTGTCTGCCAGTGGAAGTCGGACCGAGTGCCACGGTCGAAAAAGATCCGAAAGCTTCGAACTTTTAGTTGTGGCATTGTCCACAGATACCATATTTAGCCTATTTTTACCACGGCGATCAGATTTCAGATTTGGCGCCGCGGACATGGCGAGCGCGGGCGCCGACGACCTCCTCCATGACAACTTGACCAACGTCAAGCGGTGTGTGAATATGTCATTCTAGAAGGAGCTGCAAGGTTATATGCTTAGGACGGACGAGATTACGTCTCAAATGCTGCACAAGACCAAGAAAATCCTGGCCACGTCCGTGTACGCGCGGAGTCGCGACGACTATGCGCTCCTCGACAAAGTGGGTGCGTTCTAGCGTCGTCCTACTTACAGACAATATGTGCTTTTAACTCCTCTACGTTTGCGTGGCTAGTGCAATCGATTCCCTTTTTTGCCGATATCGACCAAGCGGAGCGCCTCCAGTACCTCCGCGCCAGCCGCGGCGTCTCGCTCAACAAGGGCCAAGTGCTTTTTTCGATCGGTGACCCCGCCGACTCGTTCTACTGCGTGCTCTCGGGGTAGAGTCAGTGTGGCGAATATGTAGATATTCATATATATATATATTGATGGGGATAGCGCGCTCAACGTCGTTGTCGACCTGTCGCGCGTCAAGATTCACACCAAGCGCGAGCTTCTGAACCGCGCCAAGATCTACTCGTGCTTGAACAGCCCTGGCGTCGGCACGGGTACGTGTCCGTGTTGTTCTGCATGGATTTTTTTCATGCGGATGATGGAGTAGAGCAGTCGATGTACACAACGTCGTACGTGGTGCGCTGTCTTCGGCGGTTCGACTCGTTTGGCGACGCGGGCATGCTCGCACTCGATAGCTCGCGGACAGCAACCGTCGTCGCGATCGAAGACTCGCTCCTCCTGCGTATCGAGAAGGAAGCGTTCTTGGACTGCCGCGTGTTTCGCCAGCGCAAAGACATCGAGTCGATAGATTGATACAACAGAAAATGATGCTGAGAGCGCTTCTAGTCAAAGCTCGCGTTCCTCGCCAAGATCAAGATCTTCCAGCACTGGACGCTCGAGGCCCAGACGCGCTTGTGCCAGCGCCTCGAGCGCGTGCTCAAGTCGTACAACGACGTGCTCCTTGCGCAGGACGCGGACCCGCGTACGTTGCTTCTGGTAGCGCACGCACTGACAACGTTTCTTTAGAATTTTTCTACCTCTTGCAGCTCGGCGAGTGTCGGCTCGTCAAGCGCCACACATCGCGTGAGTCGAACCAGCCGCTATTTATCGAGCTCGGGTCGCTCTCGAGGTACTCAACCCCACCAAGCTATTAAACTATCAAGCCGATTGAAACGCCTCCAGTGGCCAGTGTTTTGGCGCGTACGAGATCCTGCGCGGCATGCACCGCGGCGCCTTCTCCGTGCTCGTGTCGTCGCCCAGCGCCGTGCTCTACCGCATCGAGAAGAGCGGTGCGTTGTGGTGCTGCCACGTGTAAGCGTATGATTGGTTCGCGTAGACGTGCGCTATTTGGTGTTGAAAGACGCGATCACGGAACAACTGCTCAAGGCCGACGCCAACGACCTCTACGCGCGCATGCACAAGCAGTCGATCGAGCAGGACCTCGTCATGAACACGCAGTGGCACGAATACAAAGAAGCCGTCCTCGCCGAGGCCACGCCGCGGCGCCACGCCAAGCTCACGCCGCACTTGCTGCCGTTCGTGCACAGCCTGGACCCGTCGCCGCTCGGACCTAGCGCCACGATGCGTACAAGCGACACCACCATTCGCGCTCTCAAGCGGTCGATGGTTGTAGCGCCCAAATCGCCTGCGGTGCGGGGACCGCCCAAGCCCATGGTGCCGGTGCGGCCCCACGTGCCGCCGGCCGCCGCCTCGGAAAAGCTCTTTCAGCGTCACAAGACGTGGCTGCAGGTATCTATAGATGCAGCGATACCAACAAAATGGCCGGCGACGCTAGTGGGCCAAGAACCGCGTGGCCAATGTCTCGCTCGTCGACGACGGCGACGCTGCCACCCAGGTCCGCGTCACGACGTCGGACTCGCTGACGTAGCAACATTGCGTAGCTCTCGCGGAAAGGGTCCACGAACCGTACCACGCGCATCATGTGTGGCAAGGTCAAGCACATCAAGCTTGACGACGCCATCCACATCCCTGGCACGGTCCACTCGGTCTTCAAGCACCTCTCGACCGTGCGCGGGTCATCATTCCGTTCAGGGACATGAGGCGTTCCTCTGTCGTAGTAGTACACTATTAGTTGCAGTTGGAACAGATAGCATGGCGCGACACGATCGACTAGATAACGAGTATAACGTAGTAGTATATTAGACCATTCCGCTCGATCGTCGCGGGAGACCAAGACTCGAGCTCCGATGCGTCAACGTCGTCGACGGTGCGCGGCGCGGCGGCAGCGCCGTGAGCTCTTTTCGTGCGCTTGGGTCGACGTGGAGGAAGGTTTTGATGCACGTGAGGACGGGGCAGAGCGCGAGCTCGCAGTCGGTCAAGTGGTGCGGACTCTGGAGGATCGAGAGCATGACAAAGAGAAAATGGTCGAGGCGGTCTCGGCGCGCGATCGCGACCGTCTCTGCGCTGCACCAGAACCGCTCGTGCTTGCTTGGGAAGAGCACGGCCGCGAGCGCCGAGTGCAGCGCGTGGCAGTCGCAGATGCTGGCGGCGCAAAGGCGCAGTAGCGTCCGTCGAAAGGCGTAAAACTCGGAGAAGCGCTTGGGGACCAGCCAGCGCTCGGCGCCATTGTCGACGAGAATCCGGTAGGTAATGACGTTGGTAGCACTCTGTTTTGAAGCGATCGTATACGCCTCGTCTTCGTGCAGAATGAGCTCGTCGAGGCTGTGGAGGCTCACGATGGTGGCGAAGAGTCCGGCGAGCGGTGGGCGGCGAGGATGCGGCATCCGCAACGCAAAGCGGAGAGTGACACGCCCGCGTGCTGTTCTCAATGCGCTGGCTTTTGTCCTTGAGCTGCCACGTGGGATGGGACCACATGGCCTTTGGTGTAACTGCACCGACATTCGAGAGGCGTCGCCTGGTCCTGCAGAGCTGATAACGCTTCCTCGGATGAGATTGGCGCGCTCTCGACCGTTCGATGCACACATTGACGTTTACACGAGCGTATGGAAGCACGGAGATGAAGAGGAAGGCAATGGCCCCGCCTCATGGCTGCAAGGTCGCACGCTTCAACTGGCTTGCAGTCTCCGCCATCGTTGTTGTCTTGCATGAAGCAACTACATGGCTTTGAAGTTTGGAGGTTTGGAGGTTTGAAGGTTTGAAGGTTTGAAGGTTGAATAAAATCGAGTTGAGACGCGAATGACACACGTATTACAGGCTGGACATGGTCACGACCACACAAGGGGCGCGTGCACGGGGCTATTGATGATCTCGTCGTGCTCGCGGATCGTGTAAATGGGCTCTGACAGCTTTCGACTCGCTGCGCTGACGGGAAGCCGCCGCAGAAGGGCGTCGTGGTGGCGGCCACCAACCTGGAGGAACTTGCGAATGAGCCGCAAGATCGGGCACGACGTCCCGTTGCACGTGTACGCGTGCGTCGACGGCTGCAAAAGACCGAGGAGCACCGAGAGAAAGTGCGTGAGCCGGTCCTGGCGGTCGAGGGCGACCCGCTCGGGCTTGCGCCAGAACGCAAGGCTCCGCCGCGGAAAGGCGAGTGCCGCAAGCGGCGCATGGAGCAAGCGGCATGCGCAGTCACTGCAGCGCGTCATCGTGAGGAGGACCCGCCGGAACCGGTGAAAGTCCGAGAAGCGCTTGTGGAGGATCCAACGCGCGGCGCCGTTCTCAAGCAGCACGCCGTAGGCAAAGACGTCCTGCTCGCGCGTGACGCTGACGATCGCGACCGAGAGACCGAGGAAGATGTCGTCCGACAGCATCGTTTCAAGTATGGCGGTCGGGTGGTGGCACACTTTTTACGTGGATGGGACATGCTACGGCGTCTGATGCAGTACTGGACCCACGCGGCTTCGTCGGAGATCGCCGCGATCAAAGATGATGTGCTACGGTGTCGAGTGGCGTCTGCTATCTCGCATACTGCCTGCGTACAGTGTCCTTGCCACTTACGATTCGCAACTATTGGTTCCGTGGTACAGGGTCACGGTGAAGACAATATCTCCACAAGTTAGACGCTCCTTGTGTCCTTGAACAGTCGCGTACTAGAGTACGAAATTGCTTGGCTCCAGTTGTGTCGTCGTCGACGGCAGAGATGTATGCGCTGATAGTGTAAGGTCGGGGCATGCTAGAATGGGATTGGGTGCGAAAACGAACGGGCCAAGCAAGCACGACTTGATTGCTCTATGGTGTGCGTCATCGCGCTGACAATGTGTCCAGTTCCGCGCAGCGTAACATTGCTCTACAGAGACCAGCGGGGTGCTACGCTCCAGCGAGCGAGGTATACGCCGTGAGCGTGGCGGAGGAGAACGCCGCAAAAGCAAAAGCTCATTCGATTCGTCTTGTCGCAGGCGATGTGCTACCGAGAGCTGCTGCGAGATTTCCGAAGACAGCACTCGCTGCCTTGGCGATCGAGGTATTCCACGAGCAAGCCACTGATTATTAGTTCAAGTTGTCTAAATTACAATTGATATACAATGACACTACTGTCTTGGACCCAAGATGACAATATTGTCCTAAACCCAAGTTGTTGTTGCGGGAATGAATCTGCAATTGATCACTTCGTCGTCTTCGCGGATGGGATAAATGGAAAGGTTGTGGCTTGGCGAGAGCACACGCCGGGGTGTCTTGGGCGGGAGATCGCGAAGTAGCTGGGCGTCGTAATACTTGCGCGCGGTCGGGACGACGTGGAGGAAGGCGTGGATAAGGCCAAGCACGGGGCACTGTGCATGCTCGCAAGCGACCAAGTGGTCTATTTGCTGCAAGAGGATCAGCAGCACGCTAAGGAACTGGCTTAAACGGTCTTGACGGTCCATCGCAATGCGCTCGGCGGGTCGCCACGGCAGAAAGTTGGCCTCCTTCTTTGGAAAGACCATCGACGACAAGGTCAGCCAGAGATACTGGCAACGACATGTGCATTTACTCGTCAAGCGCAAGAGCTCCTGCCGGAAGCGATGGAACTCGGAGAAGCGGCGGTGGAGCAGCCAGCGCTCCGAGTCGTTCTCGACGAGGATCGCGAACGCTAGCGACGCGTGCTGACGGTCTTTGGTGATGCTAAGGATTGTCGCCGAGAGGCCAAGAAGAGGGAAGCGAACCGGCGTCGGGCGGACGCGAAGCTTTGGTGCGAGCATGTTGCGGCAATGGTTGCAAATAAGTTCTAAGAGGACTGGGTCGTGGCACACATTTGCGGCAAGCGCACCAGCCGGAGAAGGCAAGAGTCGGTCGACTAACGTAATTCGTGGCGAGCCTCGCTGGATCTTGATTACACTTGTCTACACTATGCCGCCACCGTCGGTGGTCGAGGGTGCGACGACCACAAGCATGTGCTGTACGTAATGTATGGCGCAATCTATTTCGATACACCTCGTCGTGTGATAATTAGGTCACAGGATGTGATGCAAACCGCGGTCGCTGGTCGACTCTATGAAAATGACATCCAGTTGCTGCGTCGAGGCGCTGCCACGTATGCTCGTCGCCCCCGATTGGCTTTCTAGTAGCCGTCATCGGGACACGCTGCTAATGACAAGACGACGTGTGCAATCACTTTTAAACATGCGCTGCCAGGAACTCGATGCTGGCTCTGCGCGCACGCGTCGTACCAGGCGCCAGACTGGCTTGTCGCCTGGTTGACGGAGAACACGATCCAGATGAAGTGCCCACTGGATGTCCGCAACCCTGCACACACTTGAGCGTGCCACGGCAACACGTATGTGGACAAGGAACGCAATTGGTACTCGTTACATCGGACAGGAAAGCAACAGACGCTGTTACACATAGAGCTCGTCGCCCTTGCGAATACGCTGCGCTGCCACGACAATGCGGTTGCATTGGATCTCGCAGTTGGGTGGGTGACTGGGTGGGTGATGTCGCTTGAGCTGTGTGGGCCACTCGACAGCTGCAAGCGCCACGTCATCTCGTGGAGCGTCGCCGTCGGAGGAGGAAGAGGCGACGCTTGCGGTTGCTTTCCGTTTTGACGTTTTAGAGACGTAGCGCCGGGTCTTTGGTTGTCGCGATCTGTGCAATAAGTCGACTCGGTTGCCCGTAGGCGACGAGCTCACAATGGTACCGCTTCTGGTCGTCTGCAACGAGGTCGAGGAGCCTTGTGGCGCGTGTGCGTGGTCATCTCCGTGTTGACGTCGTACGATGGCGCTCGAGCCAGATCGCTTGGTCGCTGTACGCGTCCGGTCTGTCGGCGACGCCAACGGAAACAATAGACTTAGGCGCCTCATGTCCTGGATACGGTGTTCGGCGTCCCATGTCTCGGTCAGGGCATGCAGCCACGCATCGCGCTCCTCAGGTTCGGTCGGGACGTCTCGTCGGCTGTGTGCGACCAACGCTAAGCGCTTCTCCAAGTGCCACGCCAACGCGTTCGACATCGAGCGCGGGCGCACGTAGAGCGAGATGCAGCGCGCGTTCTCGTTCTCGAGGAGGCGGACAATCGCTGCGCTGTCCATGGCGGCGCGGGGCGGGAGCGCCATGTTGCACTCGTGCCACTTGGCCTCGGCTGCTAGAATCTCGTCGCCAATGGCCAGACCGGCCACGTATGCAGGCGACTGCGGCAACACGACAGTGACGACGACGCGTCCCTGTACAGCACCGCGGCCTGCGCCTTCGGTCAATAGGCCGAACGACGGGGACGCGGTCCGTCGGCAGATCAGCCGCCACGAGGAGGCGGCTGTGGCCATCGTAGTGGCCAACCAGAAATAAAACCAGCTAAAGACGGGTTGCGTTCAAACGTTTTAACCCTTTTAACGCTAGGTTGTAGAGCGTCAAATGCTGGACCTCTCAGCGTTAAACCACGTTGAACAGCGTGCAACGAGGTTCAAGCAGAGGTAATCGACGGTCATCTTGATTGCTGTTCCAATGTGGACAGCCTCAAATGTCCAAGGAGGACCTGCTTTTACGCGCTCCTTGCACCGACGGGCCGTCGCAGCTGAGGGGCAGAGCTTGCACCCGACAGGCGACGTGCCGATCATTCTCAGGCGGCGCGACGAGCCGACGAGAGAGCATCTGTATCAGTGCCTAGACGAGGCTGGCCGGCCTGGTTCTTGAAGCCAATTCCACCATCTACGCCGCAGGCCGATACTAAGCGAATTGCCGCTCACCTACAATCAATAATCACACACACCCTTGCTTGCATGACCTGAAGATCCTGTCGACGAGTATCTTTCGTGTCTAGCTCTGCTCAGATTCCGGCGTCGACGACAGCTCCAGCGTCCTGAAGGTCTACGAATCGCTCTAAGGCGTGCATACAGTATCGCAGGCTCCACAGCTGCGAGGTATCATCTGCCCTTGCTTACCCACGTTGTGGCGGCTACACGGCCCAGCGCAGCACCTCGATCTTTGCCGTTCAACGGGTGCGAGCATCAGGCGCGCGCCTGTCGCGGACACCCAAGAGCAGATGACTCACGTTCGTGCATGGCATTGACGATTTTGCCATGCGCTGCTACTTTGGCGACTGCGTCCACGAAGCGCTGGAGGGGTCGTGGCGCTGCCACTTTCACCGGCACCGGCTCAAGTGCAGCGTCGCCGAGTGCCGCAACCAAGTGTACGCGCGCGGCCTCTGCGTCCGGCATGGCGGCAAGCCGCGCTGCCAAGTCGACGCATGCGACACCAACGTGCGCGACGGCAGCTTCTGCGCCAAGCACGGGGCGGGAAGCGGCGAGGCAATTGCATCGAAGCGGGATGCGTCAACCGGGCACAGGCGCGCCAGCGCTGCATTCGCCACGGCGGCGGCAGCCACTGTCGCGCCGACAACTGCCTCAAGTACGCGCGCACGAACGGCCTCTGCACCCGCCATAGTCGTGCAGTCATGACGCTGCCATGGCAGTCAAAGCCGTTGCCGGCGGAGCCTCTTCCAGCCGTATCCACGATGCCGATGCAGACCGACGACTGGATAGACTGCGCGATCCTTGCCGACCTCTGTCACCTTAGTGGCTAATACAGAGACGTGTTGGAGTTGTTTAAATGCTAGCTTGTACAATAGGGGTCGAGAGCTGGTACGAATTACCTCCGTCATGGTTGATAGCGCCCATAGGTTTTCTCGACAGTCGCGACCATGCACACAGCTCATGCACACGTGTCTGTGATGTCGGTCGTCTCGATTCAAAGATAGAGATCCGTTGCGACACGAGCCGCATGGGCCCGTGGTCCATGCGTCAAGCAGATATGACATCCCAGTCTTCTACCTCATGACCAGACGGTACACGGCTCCGTCCCTTTCTTCTCCTTCTCATCAATGTTCGCACCGCATCTAGCAAAATAGTGCTTGACAGGCCCGGGAGTCGTACCGGTATCACTGTAGCCGCGGCGAGAACACTCCACGACGTTCGATTGCGCATTTCATCACATTCAAGCGCGCAAGGTTGATCTCTCAAGGGCCTCAGGCACTCCTGTTGCTAGTCGCTTAGCTTTGACACAACTATTGCAGCTCTAAGATCGTAGCGGATCGTCGAGTTGACTCAACTATTGCAGCTCTAAGATCGTAGCGGATCGTAGAGCTTGTAGGGTCTTGCTCGACCTTGGGGCCATCCGAGACAAACAGCATGGCAGCCGTCAACGACGACATTGCCGCATTGTACACAGACTGCGTCTCTATTGCTTTAGGAAGAAATAATAAAAGAAGAAGACGTCGGCGACCGTGAGGAGCACGATGATGGCCCATAAGCAGATCTTGCGGCGCAGCGCGCGGTCGCGGATTTGGACTAAATAGTGGTTGACCTGCGTCGTCGCGCTGTTCGTCTCCCGGACCATGTCTTTCATGTCCTGGAACTGGCCCCGCTGGCTCTCGAGCTCCACGAGCACATGCCGGGCCGTCAAGTCGGCCTGCGCGATCGTCTGCTTGGTGCGCTCGAGCTTGTCAGAGGTCTCCATGAGCCGCTGGACGTTCTACGCAGCATGCGCATGAGCCCGCGTCGTCCTTAGCTCATGCGGCGTACCGGGTCGCCATGGTACGTGCCATAGTTGCTCATGCTCTTCTTCGCCCCGAGGAGACCGCTCGTGGAAGTGCTCATCCTGCCCACGAAATTGCGAAAATGACGGGTAAAAACGCTTAAAAATTTCGCAGCCAATCACCGACGCGTTGCAACCTTGGCACAGCCAATCACAAGTACTTGAAGCCTCCCACCTTCGTTTTTCAGCCAATGGCCTTGGGGTATACGCCAGGGTTGAAGATGCCAGACGCACGACGTCCTCGGCCCGCCGTCGAGGCAGCCAAGAGCCCGACGATGCGACCAAGTCAAGCATCATCCGTTGTGCGTAGTCGTCAAGGGCTGTACATGGACCATGGAGGTTCCTCGTCGTAGTCAAAGGAGCCAGCAGCCATACGGGTGTAGAATCGCGTCGCAACGTTCATTTTCGTGTTAGGCAGCTACGAGGACGTGCCACGCTGCGCCTCGAGGTGCGCGATGAGCGCACGACAGAGGCTTGCAATCGACTCGTCTGTCGTGCTGGCCAAACTCGCAGTACATTGTCTATCAGCAACCTTTCAGCCTTCATCACGGCATTGCATTTGACACACCGCAGCATGATAGAAGGCAGCGGTGCCACGGCAGCGATCGCAGGCGCGGCAGACAGCACAAGTGAGAGCGTCTCGAGCACCTCCAGCGTCATCTACATCCGTGGGTCACCACAAGGGGTGCTCGAATCATGTCTACCTTGTCGCTCAAGTCTTGGATCGTCAGGACGTCGACCATAGCACCCACGAGGCGCGTCGTCGCGTCGCTAGCCTCTTCGACGGCTTTGACCATGATCAATTGGGCAACAATCTAACGTACATGCCATCGCATCTCACAGCACGCTCCACAACCTCGTACCTCGAGCGATAGACTCACACCGTCAATGTTGTCGCGGGCACTTTGCGTCGTGCCGGGAAACGCGTCCGCAAGCGACTGCACGACCGCATCGACGATACGACGCGGCAACTTTGGTGTGTTTTGAATCAGTCTACGTCATCATACATACGGCACTTGATCCCTTGAATGATAATACCGCAGCAAGATGATGCTCAGATGGACGCGAAAGGGCATGCCGATGGCAGTCTCTTGACGGCATACGCGTGTGCACGCAGGGTACATGGCGTCCGGGCGGTGCCACGCACCTGCGACGACAGCGTCTTGAAAATAGTAGATCCAAGCCAGATCCCCCTACGCCCATAGTAGGTTCAGTGGGACAGCAAAACGCCACGAGGCTACCGTCGTCACGGCCGTGTGCAGAAGCGCCAGCGGGATCTCGGCGAGGCCGCAAAAGATCCGGTCGTGGCGCGCCACGTCGTTCGCCGGGGCTTGCACCGAGAGCGCGATGCCCAAGTAGGCCATCACCGGAGCGCCCCACTGCGCAAAGGTCGCCATGCGATGGGCCACGAGGTACGCCAGCGTGTAGATGAGGACGCCGACGGCCTTGTCCGAAACGACCGGCCGCACCGACGGATGCGGCAAGCGCGCCAAAAGGTCCGGCACAACAGTCGCTGGCGGCAGCTTGGCCACGAGGTCACTTAGCACGCGCAGGATCGTCGACGACACCGCGTCCTAGCATGCCACGTGACGCGCGAGGTCTCGGAGAGGTTCTACTACGTTGCAGAGGCTTTGGACGAGGTGTGTTTGCAGCACATGGAGAGAGCGCTCGTCGCAGGTAGCCCATTGCGTAAAGCTGGACGCGCGCAAGCCCAAGTACGGTCGCAGGACGGTTGGGAAGGTCGGGTCGTCCGGCGCGCGCGTTGGTCTACGCAGCACGATTGAGCCCAAGTGCCATCATCCTACTCTTGTGCGCGGTACAAGGATCTGCTGGACGAGGCGACGAAAGCTGCCAGGAAACGATGACGGCCATGCGTCATGCACGAGCCGAAGCGCGTGGAGCGAGACACCGTCCGTGGCGTCCGCCAAGAAATGCGTCACCGCTTGGTCCGTCACCATGCGCGTCGCAGAGAGCGGCACGTGGTTTCGCAGCCACCTAAAACGAGCCCGAGATAGAGTCGTTTGTAGGCGGGCATGTCGTACGGTGGAAGCAAGCCCAGTAGCGTGGTTGTCTGCGCCGCCTTGTCGGCCGGCGACAAAGTCTCGAGGCGGCTGAGCGCCTTGGTGAGGTTCAAAAGCTCCTTAAGAGGGTCGTGTCGCCGTCGTGCGAGAAGAGGAACGCGAGCGTCAAGTGCGCCAATGTCCCGTTCGTGGAGCGTTGCAGCGAGGCGCCACACGCAGCAAAGACGGTCGGGAGATCGAGGCGCGGCAGCAGCCATAGGCACTACGCTTCCAAGTGACTGCGTGTGTGCAGAGGCATCGAGAAGCAATACCTTGTCGCGCATGGCTTGCGCCGGGTGGTGAAAATACACTTCGAGAATCGCAGCCGAGAGCGGCGCGAACCACTTTGGACGCGACTCGCCCGTTTGCTGCACGACGCAGTGTACAAGCCCAAGGCATTGCTACAACGGTTTTGTGTGTTTTGTTGTTCGTGGGGCAGGGAACCCTACCTGCAGCGTTCCCAGTGGCGTCGATGCATCTCGAATGACGTCGAGCAGCTACAACCAGCCGTCCTATGAGCGTTTAGGGTACTGCATACCACATAGCTACGGGCGTCAGCGAGTCATTGCAGTCGACGAGTCGCCGAGCAATGGAAGGGCGAAGCGCGGGCGATGCCACGCCGCGGCTCACGAGCGGCGAGAGTAGCGCTGCCCGAGCCGCTTCGTCCCAGCCTGGTTGCTGCAAAACGCGTTCGACGAGCGCCCAGCCGAGCGCCTTGGGATCGGGCTCGATGTACGTCGAGACGGCCTACGCATCGATGTCGAATCTGCCACGCCAGCGGTGCGTTGTACGTGCACAAGCTCCTGTGCCGTCGGTAGGGGTAGGGCTGTTTTCTGTCGCCCGAGCACCAACGCCAAGTTGCGCAGGGCGGTCGCTCCCCAACGCGCGTTCCTATACAGGAGCGTGAAGACCCGTGCTGCGACGGAGAAGCGTCGCACTGGAGATGAGAAAGACCTCGCAGCACGCTCTCGTGGGTTGGTGCCGCCGTCGATTGTAGAAGGAGACTCGAGTGGTGGTACTCGTATGCAAACGCGGCGTCCATCTATCGTATTGTGAGCGCTTTTCAGACAGCTACGACGACGACTCCATGGACCTCGATAGACAAAAGAGCCGAGATACCAGCCACCCAGAGGCTCCGGGCAGGCTTGCGCGCGTACCACGAGCTGACTTCGCGCAACAGCGCACACGTCAACGCCTACAACCACCACGCTACATCGCTGCTTCACGTGCAGAAGCCTGCGTACTCGGAAATCGCCCGCGTCGAGCGGCTCGAGCGCGAGGACATGTGCGACGTAGAGACCGGCGTCGGCGGCAGCGACGCTGAGCTTCGTGGGTGCTTTACCATTGTCTACAGCACGCAACACTCTATTATGTGACTCGGGTCACTGCGAAGAAGAAGCCGACCTTGCGTGATCGTGTACGTGGCGGCGTCACGGACGGCGGCGTCGAGCAGCGCGTTCCAGCCGGCCACGGCGTCCGCCGTCACGTTGGCCAGAAGCAGCGCCTTGGTGCACGCCCGCAGCATCCAGTAGACACGAAGGAGCACCATCTTGTCGTTGCTCTGCAGCAGTCGGTGGACGCAGTGTAGCACGCTGGACCCATCCAAGCGATAGAGCCATGTGAAGAGGAGCTCGACGCGTCGAGGGTGCTCTGTCTTGCGCGGCTTGGCATCGTCTCTCCACTGCGTCAAGACGATCGAGCACAATGACGCAATGAGGTTCCTATGCGCCATCATGCAACACACGCCATCTCGCGGATGGGCGTACCGCGCGCGCTTGGTGTCGCCACCGTCGGCCGCGACCTGCTCCACATGCGCCTACTCGCCGGTGCTGCAACGCCTCCTCAATGGCAATGTGGAACGTACGACAATGCTTTCGAGCTGCGTTCGCGCCGTGTGCTCGGCGAGCGACGGTGGGCGACGGCTCTATGCGGGCATCAGACAGGCATGGGTGGCGTCCACGCACCGGCGCAGGCTTGGCGCTGTCGCTCTGCAAGGTGCGCGCTAGCTACAGCAGGCGCATGAGGTCGATGCAGCGAGTTGGGCACTCTGTACGAGGTCAACGTCGACGTGGAGCAACGGATGGGCAATCTGCGGGAGGCTCGTGCCCGCCATGTCTGGCATATTTTCAAATGTACCCCGGGCTCCCGTCTCTCGGTACCCTGCTTATACGTGAGGCATAGTTTTCGGTACACCGGGGTACAATGTTATGGACTTGAAGGCTGTTTTCAGTTGAAGCAAGGTTGTTATCCCTTGGTTGAAGCTTCCTCGTCAAAAGGCTGCACTAGAAGAGAGCCGAATACTACGTGAAAGGGTGGGAGTGGCTTGCTTGGCCATGTCACTCTGGTCCTTTAGCTTACTTCACTCCAGACTGGACAAGTGCGCAATGCAAAGCACATGACCCGGAGCACTGCGCGGGCCTAACGATCGTTTGTCGATTCATAGAGTAGCGCGCGCCAGCTTTGGGATCTGTACGCTCTTCGGCATCGCAGCGCCTTGCGTCGCCATGCACAGGAAGCGTCTCCAATTTGTAGCACGTCGATCAAGCGAGTGGCGGTGGCAGTAGCTCGCACGCAAGACACAAACACGAGACAAAGATGGTGGCGTCTCTCTATTCGTCAAACCCCAAATCGTCAAACTCCAAAAGCACGCGCGAGGTCACGAGCGCCATGTCGTAGAACGACGAGGCAGCGGCGCGGAGCATGCGGATCTCGCACACAGAGAGCCCAAGAGAGAGAGATGAGCCTCGTCACAAAGACGATCCACAGCGACGTACGCAATGAGCTGGTGGCCCTTGGTCGAGAGCTGCTTGGTGATCTTCTCGGGCGAAATCTCGTCGTCGACATTGAGGGTCTCGTACGCATACGTGGCAGCCTCGGCCGAGGCAAAGTCCAAGACAATCTCACTGCGCATGGTCATGAGGAGGATGCGCCATGGTCACGAAGCCGCCTCGGCGGCCAAGCAGCATGCAGAGCTTACCACTCGTACGGGTATCCAATCCAGTAAATTGAGCGATGGTAAGCACTGTCACAATACATTACCTTTACCTATTTATATATAGTTTTATGCGATTTAAGAGGTAGACGCAAAAGTGTACTAGTATAACGCATGTGTTTACGCTTGTGTTTAAACCACAGGGCCAACGTCGCGTTTAACGCAGATCCAATGCCACCAAAATCCAAGAAGCGGCGCGTGGCCGCGGCCGAGGACGCATGGGTCGGCGCTTCCTTGGGCACCATCAACGGCGAAAGGTACTACGCCAGCGCGCTGGTCAATACTGGAAGCGGCGACGTCGTGCAAGTCGACCAGCACATGGTCGTGGTCGTTGACGGGGGCTCGGAGGCCAAGCCGACGTTGGCGCTGGTCAACCTCTTCTGGGAAGATGCTGCAGGCGCCAAGGGGATGGAAGTGCGCTACCTCATGTACACGCATGACCTTCCGGCTTCGCTCAAGAAGCAGGCCAAGCTCACGACGACGAACGATCCATTCGCGGTCGTTGAGACAACGGATGTGGACGAGCTGCCGCTCGCCGACATTGTGCGCCTTGTGGACATGGCCGACTACGCCTGCACGCTACTCTACTCGAAGCTTACGAGTAGTCTCACGCAGCTCCCGTCTTCCTCCATCGAGGCCCGGGCGTCGCGCGCCTACGTGTACAGCCACCGCCTCAAGCAGAAAGGTCTGCCTCAGCCGCACGACGTACTTCGCACCGAGACGGAGACGCTGGACGACACGGAGCAGCAGCTGCAGTCAGCGTGCGACCAATTGCAGCTCTCGAGCATTCCCGAGAAGCTCATTGGCCGTGAAGACGAGCGTCGACAGATCTACCGCACGGTGCACTCTGCGATTCAAGACGGCCATGGCGACCCCATCTACATTAGCGGGCTTCCAGGTCCCGCCTCTACGCAAACGTGTGCATGCCAACCTTACGGTATGTAGGTATGGGCAAGACGGCGACGGTAAAGGAGATCATTGGCAGCTTGGAGCGGCTGCGCGACGCGCAAAAGCTGCAGGACTTTTCGTGGATCGAGGTCAACGGGCTGCACATGCCCAAGCCGGACCTCGCCTACAGCATCATCTGGAAGGCGCTGGAGAAGCACCACTTCGCGGCCAAGTCGTTCAACCCGAAGAAAGCACGCGAGTGTCTTCACGCGCTGTTTAGCAAAACATCGTCGGCGCGACCCGTGCTTGTCCTGCTCTTGGATGAAATGGACTTTATGCTTGCAGGCAAGAACACGGTGCTCTACAACCTCCTCGAGTGGCAGTCCATGGCCACGTCCAAACTCATCCTCATCGGCATCGCCAACATCATGTACGCAAGCATCACACTTCCAAGGGCTAACGTCGATTTATGGGTAGGGACTTGCCGGAGCGGCTCCCGCCCAAGCTTCGAAGCCGCTTTGGCGTCCACCGCATTGCGTTTCGGTCCTATACGCACACGCAGATCGAGGCGATCGTTGCGCAACGTCTCTCGACGCTGCACGTCTTTGAGTCGGGTACGGCTCTGTGCTTGCCTTGACAATGCATCATGTACTTTGTGGCATAGGCGCCGTCGACTTGGTCGCCAAGACACTCGCCCACCAGTCGGGCGATATCCGCAAGGCACTCATGGTGTGCAAGGCGGCGACGGAAGCCACGCTGCGCCGGTACCAGGCGACCAAGACCCATGGCACGGTGACGGCCAAGGACGTCGAGGGCGCGCAGCTGAGCATGTCGCAATCGCCGCTGACGATGCGACTCAAGCACTGCAGCGTGATCGAATGCGTCTTCCTCCTTGCGCTCTACCGCGAGCTCAAGATGCACGCGGGTGCGTTCTACCTGCCAGATGCTCGGACGACTCTGAGTTCTACCTTATGTACTAGTGTCCAGCGCCCACTTTGACGCGATCACGACACGCGTCGAGACGCTGAGCAAGACCGCGGGCTTGCCGCGCATCCCGAGCTACAAGGAACTGCAGCACGTGTGTGAAGAGCTCTGCCGCTCGGACGTTCTCCGCGTGCTAAAAGGCCAAGGCACGCTCGCCAACCCGGCGCTGTCGCTCACGTTCTCGCACGAAGAGCTGCAGGACGCGTTCGGGAACCACCCGATCGGCCGCAGCATGCTCTGGACGTGATAAA